GTGGAGAGTTTGAAGGAAACTGGTTTGCAGCCTACGGTTTCCAAGGCAGGAACTACCAGTGGAAGTGGGACGAAGAGAACAAGCAGTGGTACTGGTATTCAGGATCAAAGGAAACTGGTTGGAAGGCCGCGTCCAAGGACCTCAAAGGAAAGGAAAAGTGCCAGTCGCAGGCAAAGCAGCTCGAAGAGTACCTCAAGCACCAGCTAGAGGAGCAGAAGGAAGCCAACAAGGAAAGCGAAGGAGAAGAAGAGGAAGAAGAAGACAAAGGCAAAGGAAAGAAAAGTTTCCAGTGAGGCTAGAACGCCGAGGAAGTGAGGCCAGAGAGCCAAGGAAAGAAAAGCACAGGAACCGTGGCACAGCCCTTTTTGTTTCTGTGGTGATCTAAGTAAGTTCAGGAACTTTTGTACAGTCTAGCAACCTTGGAGAGGATTGCGAGTGAACGGCAACGTTTGCGAACAAGAACAACAGTTGTTTGGAGAAGAAAAGGAACCGTGCAGGTACTGTCTTGTATAGGAAAAGAAGGGTAGAAGCCAGTTTGGTAAGGAACTTACCGGCACTAACTTCGAAGGCGGGGTGTTAAACATTCCACCTGTGACAGTACACCTGCAGGAACTAAAGTGCTAACGCATAGGAACAGCCAGTTACGCTCTTGCGACGCGCAGGCTCGAGACCAGCGGACACAGCGACCGTACAAGGAAAAGTGACCGCTTCAGTTTGTGAGTAGGAAAGCTTAGTGAAGCCCGTTCTTTAACAGTTTAGGGTTTAGGGGATGAGGGGTTTAGGGGTTTTGTTGTGCAAAGCTGGGCCTTCCAACCCACGCACTTATAAATTATAGGGCTGTCCAACCCATCATGGTTTGGGGTTTCGGGATAGTCCTGGTGCTGCGTGAGGCTCCGGTGCTTGCTGGTCCATGGGTCCTGTCATCAGACATACACTACATACTACCTAAGCTATTATATATGGTGTAAGCTTTCAGAATTCGGGGCTTGGGGTCACCCGGGTCCTGGGCCTGTCTGAGGCTGCTGTGCTCCTTGGTCCACAGGTCCTGTCATCAGACATACACTTCAGGGTTCAGGGTCATCCGGGTCCTGGGTGTGCGTGAGGCTGCTGTGCTCCTTGGTCCATGGCTCCTGTCCACATGCACTGTCCTACCCATTATGGTTCAGGGTTCAGGGTTGAGGGCCTAGGGTTTAAAGTCATCCGGGTCCTTGGGCTCCGTCATCTCCTCTTGCTGTGCCTGCTGGTCCATGGGTCCTGTCATCAGACATACACTTAAGATTTCAGGGTTCAGAGGGTTTAGGGTCATCTGTCATCAGACATCCACTTAGGATTTCAGGGTTCAGGGTTTAGGGTCATCCGGGTCCTGCTTGAGGCTGCTGTGCTGGCTGGTCCATGGATCCTGTCCACATACACTACATACACTGTCCTACCCATTATGATTCAGGGTTAAGGGCCTAGGGTTTAAGGTCATCCGGGTCTTTGAGCTGCCTGAGGCTGCTGTGCTTGCTGGTCCATGGGTCCTGTCATCAGACATACATTGTCCTACCCATTCTATGGTTTAAGATTTCAGGGTTCGGGAATTAAGGTTTAGGGTCCTGAATTTTCATGGGTCCTGTCATCAGACATAGACTGTCCTACCCATTATGGCTTCAGGGTTCAGGGTTTAGGGTCGTCCGGGTCCTGGTCCTGCGTGAGGCTGCTGTGCTCTGGTCCATGGCCATGGGTCCTCTCAAGGGTCTCAGGCGTAAAATGTTGATCCAGGGTGATGCTGCTGGTCCGGGGGTCCTGCCATCCAACTTCTAATAATCTCATGGTTCAAAAAAATGCCGGGCTGTCCAGCCCGTGATTCTTCATAGATGCAGCTGGGCTTCCCAACCCACATATTCCTCCATCTCCAGCTCCTGGGTGGGCCGTAGAACCTGCTGCCACTGTATATCTGTGGACTATGGTGCTTAGGGGTTATGACAAAAATCCACGTTCCTGCTCTTTCTTTCTCTTTTTCTTGACATCTTCCACTTCCTCCTCCCATTCCTCCTGCTCCTTTGCCTTCTCCTTGGAAGTCACACTTCCTTCATCCTTTCCTACTACCATGTTCCTTAGCTTTGCGAGCTGCGCCTTCTCGTGCATCGTGAGTTTGGAAGAAGCCTCACGGTACCGCACTTCGTTTTTCAGCCTGCGGGCATGGGTGAAGACTGTCATCAGCATCTCGCTGGTTTTCCTGGCCCAGTCTCCTTTTCCTAAATCATCTCCATAAAAACACTGAACAAGCTGCAGGGCTTCCTTTATATCACTGAACTTGGACCTCCTCGGCCCGGACCATTCTCCCTTTTGGGGGACATGGTTCCTACAGGTTTGCCTCTCGCTTGAACAGCTACACCTGCACAGAAATCCATACAATCAATTAAGCTTCCTTCCTGCATGTTCTACAAAATCCAGCATAGATCCTGGGCTGTCCAACCCACATAGACAGCGAACATCGACCTAGCCGTGATGAATCGGGGCACTAACAAGCGTGTTGCATGTGTTTCTCTGCATGTGCACATGCTTGAAACTTTAGCTAGATCATGTCAATATAGAAATTGCAATCCAGTAATTTCAATAGAAATCGCCAATGTAATTTCAGGAGAAAATCGCCCATAAAATCAATAGAAAATCGCAAATAAAATCAATAGAAAATCACAAATAAAATCAATAGAAAATCCATTCTTAGATCAATCGAGGAGACAGTCCTGAAATCAATCGAGAAATCTTGAAACAGGCCACGATAAAATCAATAGAATGCAATGTCAGAAATCAATCGAACCCGACCGAACAACAGAATTCGATTCGATTGAAAAACACCAGAATCAATAGGGTTTTGAATTTTTGAAAAAATCAAGCGTTCGATTGAAAAAAATCAATATCGGATGCTCTGGGCAATTTCCCACGGTGCGTGAAGAATGTGGAGAGACCATGCTTCCGGTGCTTACTGCCCGCCTTAGTGCGTTGCGCTTGTTGCATGCTGAAAGGTTGGTTGCTCAAAACAAGTTGGAGCTGTGGGAATTGCTTGATGAAGAAGACAGAGTTGGGCCTGGCTCCTGGCTTGAAGTCTGTGAAATCCCACGCCACCGTCGCGGACATGCTCAAAGTAGACACCGGTATGCTGCAGGTATGAAACCGGCAGGCCTGCTTAGGTAAGCATACTTCCACTACACAGTCAAGCGTACTCCGAGCCGATTTGATTCTCCCAAGCAAGTTGGGAAAGGAACAAATACTCTTTCAATGCTGCACCGGCTCTGTCGGCGCACGATTGCGCATTCCTGGCGCTGGTTTGAACCAAAACCAAAATTGTCTCTGTCTCTCTTTCTCTCTGTCTGGTTCAGAGTTTGTTGGGGCATATCGGGCAGAAAATGTATTTATGCAATATCGATTGAGAGATGCACGATGTGGTGGAAGAAAAACGACGATCCCGATCTCTTGGCACAGTTCGGTTGAGAAACCGCGACGAGATCCACATATCAAAAGAGCAAAAAGCCTGAAGGACATCTGCGCGCCGGATGCACGGCTGTTTGCCGCCACGCAAGCTTGCAGGAATGCACGAGCGGCTCCAGTGAGCATCTAAAGTGAGGCTCAACTCGCCACCAGCACGTTACAGCTTCAGCGCGACAAGCCCGCAGCATGGTTTCCTAATTTTTTGAATTACATTTCGGGACCGCAAGCAACTACAATTTGAATACGATGTTAGACTTGCAGCTAGCTTCTCCAAACCCATCAAAACAGAGACTCCTGAGTCAGCGCACGATCGCAATCTCCAAAGCCCTCGAAACTCGTGGTGTTCATGCTCCTGGCCTAAACTGCACACACATCTAGGAAACGATTGCCGTACGAAGCTTGGAACCGGGACTCTGGTAGGGCCTACAAGAAGGTGAAGATTTCGGGCGAAGCAAATCAGATTTCAAATGAAGGCTTCTTCAGTTGTCATGAATCAGATTTCGGGGTGGAGCTTGTCAGATTTCGGGCGGAGGCTGGGCTTGTCAAACTGTCAGACTTCGGGAAGCTCTAGCGTGCAACAGCGAGCCGTCGGAAGAGCACCACTCAGATCCACCTGCCACAGGGCCAATCTCTCGCGAGTTGCTTTGGGCTTCCAGCCTACGATCTGTTCACGGGTTTATGCAATGTGTTTGACTAAACTCAAACCCTGGCACCAGACATGAAAAGTCTACTGATCCTGGCAATCTAGTCCAGCACGCTACACTCTTCGGGTTTGGAGTTTGGTGTCGGAGTGGCATTCAATTCAGAACCATTATCTTCGAAGGCGATCTACAGAAAAGCCACACTCACTGACTCTCATGCACCACCTATGCCGACGACACTGCTGCTGAGAGCTGACACGCCGCAGATTTTTCTGATGCGATTGGTGACAGGATCAATCCATAGGCCATTCGTGGACTGACCTCGAGTGAGTGGCCTCGGACCCGTCACGGACGCAGAAAGCATGGTAGAATTAACAGGGATCGTTAAGCTAGCATCGTAGCGTCCCGAACCAGTGATAGGATCGCACACAATCGTATCCGGAAAACCTTGAGAAAAGAATCACACCCATCAAGCGGTCGGTGCCGGTGCATCTCCAACCCCTTGGGGGGGGCGGCCGGTGCCGGCACAACAGGCTGAGCCGGCTGAGCTTGAACAGACACGGCCTTCACCAGGTCTCTCAGGATTTGCACCTCCGCGGTCACGCGCGCCTTGAGGGGATCTTCCTTTGCTCCTGCCAATGTCGCAAGAACTTCTAGACCCCGTGCATTCACGCCCGAAATCAGGAGAAACACGCAGTTAGTTCTGTTGCATGTTCAACGATCGGTGCTGCAGGCCAACATCAAGCACATGCAAGACGTGGGCCAAGAAACGATGAGGATTCATGCAGAGTGCCTCGCTCTAATCAGATTCAGACCACCTATATAGACAGTCCACTCCATGTAGATGTCTTTTCTTTACACTGCATGCATGTGCCTCCAGGATCAACGAATGCGTCTTCGCAGGGTACGAGGATGAGTATGTTTACGAGAGGGTGGAGGAGAAACGAGCCGAGATCGAGGTTGGGTCAAGCCCGATTACCCCAGACCTATAGTAGATTATCAAACCCTCGGTATGCAGAGCCGGCTCTTTCGGATGATGTATTGCAGCACGTGCCGGCACGGAGGCTGCCAACAAGGCCGTCCTCTCAGCGGAGGATATCGTTGCCGGCCACTGTCGCCGCTTCGTGAATGCACTTACATTGTTCGGTATTTGCATGCATGCAAGCTGGCTGAGTCTCGATCTACACTGCAATACGAGCACACTGCAGGCTTGGCTTCAGAGAGAAAGAAAGCAGAGAAGGCAGCTGCCAAAGATGGTAGTGCTACGGATCCTGAGTACGACAGCAGCTGGGACACCGAAGCGTGGGACCCCTCAGCTGCCGAAGGAGCGCCGGCCAAACGAGCCCGCCACACCTAAGATGTGGCACTGCGAACGCAGTGCTGTGGGAGCCGAACTATCCAGATCGGCAGCTGTGGATGCTAGCTGGGTCGGGGATGGCTGTCATTGTCATGCTTCGCTGCATGCATGTTCCGCCGTCTGAAAACCTGACCTGTAGCATGCAGTAACAGCGATTTCAGTTTCCAACACCGGGGAAGCCGAAAGTTGCAGGGCATTCCGCAAGATTGGAGAGCGCATGCAAGTGTCTGTATCGAGAGTGCATGTACATGTCTATACATGTGTCAATTCGATAGAACAGGCTCGAACATGATTTGGAAATCAAAGTCACTGCCCCCCAATCCTTTATAAGCTCTATAAAACCTTATCTTAAACCCCATCAGCCGACGCAAACCCTTGAATCCCAAGACCCTGAACTGACACAAACCCCTGAACCCTTATGGTAGCCCGAACTACACTTCTCCTGAAGTGTCTTTTGCCTCGAGGCCATGAAAGTGCCTGCAGGTATGTGACATGTCGGCCTCCAGCTGACACATTGACACGAACACTCCTATCAAACCCTTCAATAATTGAAGAGTTCAAACATACACACATGTACACGAAGAAGACATTGGTAAAACGGAACCATCGATCAGGAGTGTAGTGCATGAGCTCGAAGAGCTTCACTTCCGGCGGAGCGTTGTAGGGCCGACGTTGTTCGAACCGGAAGAGGTGCTGGAACTGGCCTTGTACTTACGCACCAAGCTGGTGCCTGGGATCACCACATGCTTCTTCATGAGGCCGGCCTCCGTGAATGCCTTCAAGTACTCGCCGAGGTCCTTGCATTGGCCCGTCGTCTGTCCCAAGTGACTGACGACCCAAACCTTGTAGGAGTTCATCTCCTTGGTATCGGAGGTGGCAAGCTCGAAGTACGACATGTTGGAGTTCTTGAACTTGCCGAACTCGATCACGGTGTGGCCCCATTGCTCGAGGTCGGAGACATCGGGCGGCATGGAGCTGGTAGAGGCCGGTGCCTTGTTCTTCTCCTTACGGTTCATTGCCTTCGGTGGCGGTGCTGGGCGATCATTCTCTGGCGTCGGGAAGGCGAACAGCTCGTCGAAGTCGAGGGAGTCCACCTCACTCACTCGGGCCCAGTCATCTGTGGGATCCTCGTCCATGTCGTTCTCAACGACGGCTCGGCTGCTTTGGTCTTCACAGGCGCGTTTGCGCGCCTGAGGACCAGGTCCACGACCATAGTAGTCGAGGACAATGGTCCATTCCCCATTCGCTTGGAGGCGGGAACGGAGAGCACGGAACTCGTTGAGGGATTCATTCATGATCTGCTCGCTTTCTCCAGCCATGATAGCCTTGACCATGAGACGCCGGCATTCGGCATGCTCCACAGGAGGCATGCCCTGTTCCAGCCAACCCCAGCGCTGCGCCATCAAGTCAGGCGACACACTGGGAGACGAGGCGGCACTGAGAGGTCGCGAGAGGGCCATGTTAATCCGCAGGAAGCGAGGTAAACACAGGCACACGATTTGATCAGCTGGCGCTGACCGACAATATACATCACTGCAGACTACTGTACAACTGGCAGAGGAACTAGCGCTCGACAGTACCCTGTTACTAGGGAGCGAAACATTAACACGGGCAAGCAGACGGGCCTAGTCTACTTTTTACCCTTCTTACTATCAGCCTCATCCGGAGTAGGGACAGTCTTGGCGAGCTCTTTCCGGCGAGCACGCTCATCAGCACGAGTTTGGAGCACCACAGACTCCGGGCATATTTGATAGTAACCTCGACGGATGCATCCGCGCAACAGATCGAAAGCCTCGGGACTCTCTTTCGTGAGAGAGTCAGCAAGCATAAAGGTTGTTGGAACCCAACGGAGAGATCCGCCGGTTTTGCTCAGGCTTTCTCGAAGTATGACGATATCTAAAGCAGTACGACGATCATCTAGAGTTGGTGCCGATTGCGACTGCACATGATCAAACAAGCTCTTACAATCTGTGACAACAAGAGACTCTCGACGGCTGGCGGTGTTCCACATCGATTGCAAAAAGGTGCGACCATCGATACATTCACTCATGAGCAACAAAGACCATTCAGCCATTCCGGTGGCCATCACCATCGCTTGAGCTTCGGCACTAAGGGTGGAGTTAACAACCCGGGGGAGCCTATAACTTTTCCAAAACCCAGGGGTCCAGCTCACAAGTGATCCATGGTGCATCTGCTGCTCTGTGAAACTGATCATGTAGCCTGCCTGAGTTGCACCATCTTTGCCATTAGCATAATAAGCAGCATCAGAGTGAACCATCACCGTCAATTGCTCAAGTGGTATTGATTGGTACACCAGCGGCAGGGCTGCATGCTGTCGCGCACGTCGAATTGCTTGATTGACAGCAAGTGCATCGGAGACACGAGGCGTGGGCAAGGATTGCTGAGCGAAGGAGACCTGTGTTGACAAGTCGGGCCTAGACTGGGTAGCTAACCAGTTCAAGCTGCCATTGATCGCTCTGAAGCACTTGATTTCATCGGGCGTGAGCTCGGCATTCCTATCATGGGCACGGGCACGACTAAAACCTTAGGGGCCTAAGCTTAGAGACAAAGGCTTCTTGTGACATAGTGATTTCACCCGTTGCAGGATCCTGAGTACACCTAGCACCACAGAAGTCGCCATCACGCAGGCGCCACTTGCGGAATTCAAACTTCTTCTTGAGAGCTTCTAGTGCCTGATGGTACTTAGCACCTTCTCCGCCTGTGGCATTGTCATCAACATGCACACCGAAAATGCCTGTGAGGACACCCTTGTCGCGCATGTAATACAGACACGGGTCCAACCTCGATCGCTCAAACCCTACCTCCAAGAGTGCAGCATTCAAGGTCTTACTCCAAGCACTAGGGGAGTCGTTCAAACCGTAGACCCTTCCTAGAACCTCTATCAAGGCATCAGAGGGTACTCCAGGGATGCCCCCAGCCGGGAGTCGGGCATAGAGCGGTCGATAACGCTCTGGCAGTGCCCCTGAAGACAGGAACGCACCCTTAACATCCCCTAGAGCCAAGGTCCACTTCTTCAAGGTCCACTTCTTAGATGCTATGGTCTGAAACAACAAGGCACGACCCAACTGTGACAACGTAGGACTCTGAAGGTCACCTGCCAAAGCCTTGGTTTGCAAATCAGGATCCAGGTGTCCTTGCAGACACCAGCGGGCTTTCACACGGACTGGTGCGTCCTCTTCTTCCTTCCATGTCACGACATAACGGCTTCCCATGATACGATCAGAGAAGCGTTCTCGCACCATCCGAGCTTCCTGGCCCAGGACCAGTCTGGTCGCATGCCGTCCCATCAAGGTCTGCCATTCAGTTAGCTTAGCTTCATCTACCTTCATTTGCAACTCCTGGGGATTATTAGAGGCGGGAATTTCCTTTGCAGCACGCTTGTTCACATGTGCGGCTACTAGGGCTTGTACAGGCAGAGAGGAAGCTTGCCATTGGGCGGCCAGCACTTCGGACGGAGCAGCAGAGGTTTCAAACTTTTCCAGAACCCAGGAACCTGTTTTCATGTGCTTAAGACAGCACTTGCAAAGAACAACTTGTGACCGACTGCAAGGCTCAAAGAAGTGTGAAAATAAGTGACTCGTGCGTTTTCCGCGCACTCTGTTGTGGTAGCGGAGCCTCGCCAACAGGGCAGGCTCGTAGGGTAGCTAGCTTGTGCCCCGGGCCCTTGCTAGTTCTTGAGCCCGATTGTGATCGGCATACTCCTCGCGTGTCGTGTGCCCGAGTGCTGTGGCGGCCAGAGCCTCTACGTGACTTACCTCTTTGGTTTTCTTCAAAAGTCGGTCAAGTGTGTGTTCTTTGCGGTGCTTGCAGAGAGGATACAGAGAACTGAGCCTTGAGCCATCGAGTGTGACATGTCAAGTCCTCGTACCTCGTGACGAGGAACGAGTTACGACTATGTGTGCTAGCTAACCTATTACTACTCGAAGCTATCGAAGGTAGCTTCGCTAGAAACGAAGTTTCGTTCGCTATCGTCGCTCGCAGGAGAGTTGCCTCTGACATGCGAAGACAGGATAGCTGTGACTTGGAATGGCTACGACGGTGTGTGACCGTGGCCATTCTGGATAAAGTCCCCCATCAGGGGGGGTAATTTTGAAGTAGTGGGGGGGAACTTGGCTATCTAGCCAAGCGAGAATGGCCTCCCCGCGCTCCCCTTCTGCTTCGCGGACGGCTAGCCCACAGTCTCCGGCTACTACGGTGATTCCGGCTAGTCCTGGGGGCGAGGAGCCAGGGAGTCCACGGAGCCCAGGCCCTATCCGCTTCTAAGGAAAACCAGGGACCTGGCTTCCCTCCGGAAATCTCCAGGAAGCCACCTATCCAGGCCCTATCGGACTCAGCTTTAGCATCCGTGAAAAAGCTCAGTGGAGGTAGCCCGGCGTAGAGAGTCACGGGACGCTGTAGCCTCTCTCCCTGGTCGAGCTTGTCGGCTAGCCACCGCATCAGCACCCGGAGCATCGTCGGGATGATGAGGTAGCCGGACTTCGCTTGAACGGCTGCGCTCCACGCGTGGAGCGGCCCCAAGAATCATAGGCTTCTAAACCCCCCCCTCCCGTCCTACCCCTCAGTAGCCCTCTGATGTCTGAACCAGTAGAGTTGTGCTCCCTACGTCTTGGCAATCCATGCTAACCATTGCTAGTGCTTGCCAAGGCTTGGTAAGGCTTTGTAGTTCTCAGGTGTCTTTTGTAGATATGCGAGCTTGGCGACAGCATGTTTTAGGCATCTTGCTTTTATTTTATGCATATCCAGCGCCGGGTTGCGACAAGCAGTGTTGTAATTGTCGTTCCACGTGCCCAGGAGGTTCATTTCAGTTTGCATGGGTTCTTTTCCCCCGGAGGAGAGCAACATGATCTGGCCCCAAGTTTAGGGACCAGTGATCTATGTTTCCGAAGACGTGCATGATTTGCTGAGCCTCCGGAGTCTTGGGTGTTAAGGCTCTGTGGTCAGGCGAGGCCCCATGGAAGCCTCAGGTAGTGCTCGTTAATCGCTCATTCGAGTCCATTTGACCACTCAGCCCACCGTAGAGCCCAACAAGGCTTGCTGAGGCCTACTGGGGCCTACTGGGGCCTACTGGGGCCTACTGAGGCTTACTGAGGCTTGCTGAGGCTTGCTGAGTTTCGCTGCTTTTTGCAGGATTTTGCTGGTTTTTCAGTGTCGGAGCCTTGCTCTGCATTTGGGCGGCGCTTTCGGTGCGGGCGCGTTCAGTGTGGGGCGGTGTGGCAGCGCGGGTGTCGCGGGGCAGTGCGTGGCGAGCAATGTGGCCTGGCGTGCTGTGAGGATGGAGTGGTGTCGGCTGGGGTTGGGGTGGGGTCCGGACGAAGTCGGGGCTGGCAGTTTCAGTCGCGTCTGATGACGCACGTTAAGTTGTAGCACAGTGCTCGTATGCGGGTGGGCGAAGCTCTCCAGCCTACACCTCGGAAGGGTCTTGAGAGCTACTGATGGGTAGGACGGCGGGGGGGGGTTTAGAAACCTATGAAAGAAGGGCCTCTGCCAATCCAAGGCTATCGCAGCAAAGCCTAGCCGACCTAGCCCCTGCTGCATCTCCTTGGCCGTGACTTTGCCGAAGGTCACCTTGTCGTTTAGCCAAGCCGATAGCCAGGACGCCCGCTTCTTGGACATCCCTAGCCTGTAGGAGGAGTACTCTGTCTCCATTCCCAGCCACTCCACCCTATAGCCACCACGAGTCTTCGCCCATTTGAAAGGATATCCCAGAACAGAGAGGAAAAGGTAGCTCAACGGGATACCCTTCCTCCCCTCCGTTCCTATCCCCAGGGCCTCGAGGTCATCGGCATATAGAAGGAGGTCGATGGGATAGCCGGGGCCCAACAGATGATGGGTTGCCCGTAGCCCACATGCGGCTATCCGGGTCCACCAGTAGCTAGCCGGCGAGAGTCCGAACGTGCCCACTTTGTTGACGTAGACGATCTGGCTATCCGGGTCCCCGGGGATCGTCTCCTCGGTGTCTATCTGGCAGCCCATGAAGCCGTGCTCGCTAGCCTGGTGTTTGTATCTCCGATGGGCCTTCGAGATATCCCCCACGACCGAAAAGGCAATCTCGCCACAGCGTATCAGCTCTCGGAGGATTTGCTTCTTTTCTCTAGCCCCTGGCGCCCGGATCTTATCCCGGCAGCGTATCCGGTGGTTAACCCGGACGCCGTGGGTCGCGTCGTGGATTATCCGCTTCTTGTCCTTCTCCTCGTCCTCGACTATCACGGCCAGGGAGGCGATAGCCCGGTCCTCGCCGAACCTCGCCTTGAACTCGCCGAGGGTCATCCTCTCCATGAGGCCTTCCTCGACGTCCTCGTCGAACTTAGCCCGCACAAAATCCCTGTGGTCGCTGACCGAGGAATAATTCGGGACCCATGCTAGCGCCGGCTCCCAAGGGGCGTTGTCTAGCCTCCAGGAGGATTGCTCCTCGAACACGTTCTGGGTAGCCCCTCCAATATCCCAAGGGGGAGTCCCTCCTCGGCCCACGGAGGAAGTCCCTATCCGGGTCGCCTGCCGCCTCGAGGATCGCACGAAGTAGCCGTAGACGAAGGGGCTGCCCAGGAGGAATATCCAGTAGGCCTGGTTCGCTGAGGTCCTGACCTTCTATCCAAACTTGCAGGAGTTGCAATAGCTCTTCGTGTAGTTGGCTATCCCGGACGAGCTTGCAGGCCGACTCGCCTCCCATAGCCATTCGGAAGGCCTCCTTCTCCAGCTCGTTCTCGGATCCCACTCGCTTGGTTACCATCTCCCCCTCAGCCAGTCCCAGGACTCGCCCGCGGCATGTCCACGAGAGTGTCGGGGCCAGCGCCCAGGAGAGCATAGCCCGCCACCGTCGTGGAACTCCTTTATCCCGTCGTTTTGATGGCATCGGCGGGGGGGTCCCGTGCCACCATGCTGGTTGGTTGGTTTGTAACATAGTCGAGGTCGCCGGAATTCACCTTATCCTGCACAGTCGGTACCCCCTCTCCGGAGGCAGTCGGAGCAGTAGCCGTGCAGGTTGCCAGGGCCAACTGTGCTAGCCAGCGGCAGAAGTTCGAGGGCCACTCGCCAAGCGTCTCCTCAGCCAGCATGGGGCTTTGCGGCGTCGAGGAAGTAGCCGCCTTCGGCAAGGGGCCCAGATAGTAGCCATCGTTGTCGAAAGCGGGGAGGCCCTCGTGCACGGTAGCCGGCATTTCCAGAGGTGACTTGAGTAGCAGTCGTGTCGGTTTCGCCGAGGGAGCCCCGAAGTTATCCAGGTGCAGGGCCACCGAACGTAGCCCGAGGCCAACTAGCCGTGCATGAGCCTCCCATTGCCGGCATAGCCCCCAGGTCTTCTGGCTGCTCCAGGACGAAGAAGGTAGCCGAGGAAACCGCGGCACTAGCTATTTCAAAAGAAAAATCAGCAAAAATGTTGCCAAGAATAGCCCGGTCTCTCTCCTTGGCCGTGAGTGTAGCCAATCCTCTGGGCTCGTCAAAGCTTCGGACTGGCCGGGGACCTTTACGGTTGGCCGAGCTCGCCCTAGAGAACGTCGCCACAGGGGGAGAAATAGCCACGATGTCGTAGTGGCCCGATTGAACTTTATGGAGGTACTTCGCCCTCTCCTTGGAAGTAGCCAGGTCGATGGGCGGACTCCTCGCCAGATCCACACAACAGATATCTATATCGAGCCCGTAGGAAGAGACTAGCCGGCGGAGGTGGCTTTGGAAGCTACCTAGCCTTTCTCTTCCCGAGAAGAGGTAGAGAGCTTGTAGCCGCCGGTGTGGAGGTGTCGCCTCAGGTGTAGCCGAAGTAGCCGGCTCGGGCACCGGTAGTCAGTTGGCCGCTGTCGACGGCGTAGCCGCGCCGGGGCAGTTGATAGCCGAATGCGGTCCCCGACACTTCGTGCAGACATGCACGAAGTGGCACTTATCCCCCTTCTTGCAGCCACCTTTCAAATTAAACCGAAAACAAATCGGCTTATCATCCTCGGTGCGGTGGAAGGTGGCGGTCTTAGCCTTCTTGTTGCTATCCTTGCCGTCCTTGCCCTTGCCTCTGCCCTTGCCCTTCTTGGGCTTAGCCGGCGGGGTGTTGGTGCTATCCCAGTTCCAGGGCTGCGGCCTTTTAGCACAAAGGGACAACGGAGTCGTGAAGTGCCGCTCCTTGGTAGCCGCGTCCTTCCAGGACTGGACTAGCGCGTCCGCGAAGGCTATCCCCTTGAGGACCATCTGCTTGTAGGCCTGTTTCCGGATAGCGTTCTCGTAGGATAGCACCAGGGTCCACGGGGGAGCGAGACTTCCGCTAGCCTCGTTGGACCGTAGCCCATAGCAGAAGTCGCCGAGCAGATAGTCTTTGTATTTCTCAAAGAGCTGGAAGTCGATATCCTTGAGTTCTGCTCGCCCTGGATGCTGGAGGCCTATCATGAGAAGTGCATTTTGCATGACTGTTAGCCGCAGCCGTAGCTGTTCCGGTCCGGATGGCATCGCCCCTTTCGAGGTAGCCTTCTTGAGCACGAGGGCGGTGCCTTTGCTATCCCACTGGGGAACTAGCACATCCGGGTCTATCTCGTCTCTGGACAGCACCTCGTTCAGGGGCTCCGCCCTGAACTCGCCCGTCTCTAGCTCGTGCAGCTTTCGCTCAATATATTCCTTAGCCGGAATATGCTTATCCTCGGGCTCGCCAAACTTCTGCGAGAAGGACTGGCGCATAGCCATGTATTCCGTTTGGGGGATGGGCTTGGCCCATTCCCGGACCTCGCTAGCCGCTTCTCTATCCGCCTGCTCGCGGGTTCTGGCCTGCGCGGCTCTCCATGCAACCACGAAGGCAGCCGCTAGCGCCCTGTTTGTTAGTGAGCTTTCTGGCTCTATCGAGAAGTCCTTGGCTAGCACCGACTTGAGGTCGGCTTCGTCCTTGAAACTCGCCGAAAACTTCGCTATCGTGTCTATCCCGGCTTTGAACAAGGTAGCCTGGGAGGTATCCGGGACCCGATTCTGGGTCAAAAGATAGCGAAAATCCGTGGAGCCTTTCGCTAGCTCCGCTGGGTCGGGCGGTGAAGCCATTCTGGACTTAGCCCGCCAACGGGCTAGCTACCTTTCGGCTACTGTCGTTCTTGAAATCAAAAGCTCTAGCCATGTGGTCGTTCAGCAGGGCTTTCCCCCCCCTAGCCGGAGAGATGGGAAGGAAGGAGTATCAACCCGAGACCCCGGGCCCCCCCCCCCCCCCGCGGAGAGTTGGGAAAGAGGGAGTGCCCGAGAGGCCGGCCCCCCCCCCCCGCCCGAGGTTTCACATATCCTGGGAAAACCTAGCCTGGCACTCTCTTCTTTCTGGCAAACGGAGGCACTAGCCGACATGAAGTGAAAGCGCGAAGGTCCACACACTATCCGCTATTTTCGTCACTAGCCGCGAGTCTGGGAGATCTAGCCATACGACCGTGCTTTAGCCCGGGCCTTTTCGGCCCCTGCCAGCTCCCTTAGCCGAGCCGGACGGGGGCCGGCAGCTATTGCACGTATGGCCTCTATCCCCATGCGTATCCAGGCAGTACCACATCCTTTTGTTGCACTGCTCTAGCCGGCAGCCATCACAGGCCACTATACATCTGAAGATAGCCCCGGCAGGCTCCCCTCGGCCTACCCCAGGGGTGGCCCCTTGGGGCCTGCACTTTATCCATCCCTGTTCCGGGATCATCTCCACTAGCTCTTTTGCACTAGCCGACCGGTTGCTAACCGCGATGAAGTCCTCATCTTCTAGCTTGTATATCCAGTTGGGGTCATGCACCGACCCTTTGCCGCTGATATCACGACCTCTATCCGACAGCTGCGATAGCCTTCTATCCTGGCGGCCGCCCTTCTCGTAGCTTCCCAGGGGCCACTCGGACCTAGCGATGTATAGCCAGGTCTGATCAATCATGCCGCTATCCGGGCCGAGTGGTCGCCCCTTGGCTTGGCTAGCCACTGGCGGGGGCGCCATTAGCCGGTGCACGACTTCGGGTTCTTCGCGAAGTAGCCGGTCGGTGGGCCTATCCAGGTTGATGTTCACCGCCGCTCCCGGCTGGAGCGCGGGCCTCTCCGGAGCTATCCGGCCGTCCCCGGCCATAGCCTCCCACTGGGCCTCGTTGTATCGGCCCGCTCCTAGCCTTCTGTCCAGCGGGTGACTGCTATCCGGGTGGATGTAGCCAAGGTTGCTATCCCCACCTCTCCCTTTGGTGGTGCTCTTAGCCTGCGGCCTCAAGGGCGGGAAAGGGATCGTATCCAGGCTCGCCGCCGCTGCGGCTGCCTATCCTGGTCGCCATCCAGATTGTCCTGAAAGGTGGCCGGGTATTCTGTGCTAGCCCTCAAGCAGTGTGGTCATGGCCTCCGCCGCGGCTGCCCTAGCCTGCTGTAGCCCCGGGCCCGGATTGACGACCTGGGCCGGATCTAGCCCGGCCGAGAACGGCAGGGTGGTAGCCGTTTCTTCTTTATCCGCGGCTCTCTCCTGCCACTGCTTGTTCTTAGCCTTGGACTCTTGGACCGTCGGTGGGTCCCTAGCCGGCTTCTTGGGCCTCTCCGCTGTGCTATCCCTCGTGCCGGCCTCTTGCCTCGCAGCAGGGGTAGCCGTGCCGCGGACCTCCGCCTCTAGCTCCTTGAGCTTAGCCACCATCTCCTGTAGCATGTCTAGCCGTTCGGGTGGCGGCCCGGCGCTAGACTGGCTAGCCTCCGGGACCTCCCACTGCCACGGTGTAGCCTCCAGCTCGTTATCCGTGACGCTCTCCTCCAGGGTCTCCCCTGGCCAGCTGCCGATTCTTCTCTATCCTCTGCTCAAGGTATCTCGCCTCGGTGGTGGACAGGCTAGCCTCGAGCTCCGCAGAGATATCGTCCCAAGACTTAGCCCCTTGGAACTTGAGTAGCCTGGCAGATAGCCGGCCGCCAGGCTGTATGCGCCTTCCTGGCACTCGGCTAGCCTCATGTCTCTAGCCTTTCGCACTAGCTGGAGAAGCTCGTGCTGCTTATCCAGGCTTAGCCGGTCGTAGATCTGCTCGGCCAAGCTAGCCGGGTCAGTCTCTAGCCAATCCTCCAAGAGGCGTAGCACTTCTATCCGTTGCGCCTGGACGCTAGCCGACTCAGTCTGGTCTGCCCAGCTGGGGGCAGTAGCCATGGGCCGCTAGCCGGCCACGAGGGCACGCAGGCTCGCCCACCTAGCGTGGGCTCTCCAAGAAAAGCTGGTGGTCCGTTACTCCACCCTAGCCACAGTAGCCGCAACATGTGCATTTGTGCCGTGCCCTAGCCCACATGAGCGCACTCAGCCGGACATGTGCACATGCAGCCTAGCCTGCCTCAGAACCTCGCAGCCTACGCCCTAGCCAGCAGACAAGACATCAAGTGCAACAACGTGATTCTCTCCTTTCTCTCTCTCCTCTCTCCCCTTCTTTCTCCCCCCTGGGCCCACCGCCCCCGGAGAGATGGGAAGGAAAGAGTATATCCCGAGAGGCCCCCCCGGACGTATCCCCCCCGTTGTCCAGCCCCGCTGCTTTCCCGGCGTTTCTATCCCTTCAGGCAAAAGGCGGTCCCCAGCCGAACGGAATAGCCGGTAACGGTGCTATCGGCAACTGGGGTACTATCCCCGGCGGTGCTCCCTGCAGCTCTGCTGCTGGGACCTCTCCGAAATCTTCTTCCTCTCCCGGCTCCGGCTTCTGGTCACCGGTGCTAGCCTGAGAGGTGTCGCTATCACCAGACGGGGGCTCTTCGCCTCGGCCTTTCGGCCAGCATAGCCTACAGACATGCGTGTACTGGTTGGGTTCGGGCCTCGCCGAAAACTCTTGGGAGTTCTTAAATATCCTACGGCGGCCCATCCAGCACCCGGCCTGGCCCCCCTTGTGTAGCCTGTACTTCTTCCCTGGAAGCTCAACTATGATATAGCTCGTGCCTCGGCCGGTTCCGGTTGGGTTCCGGTCCCAGCTCCGGCTCACTAGCCGAGGAGTCGGGTCTATCTTCGGAAAAGCCAGCCTCCAAGATCGCCAGCTATCTCCCTCTCATCTAGCTGCTCTTCTCGGTCCCGAGCCCTAGCCGCCTCTGCATAGATAGCCTGGAGTCGGGCGACCCTTCCGCCATAGGAGCGGATGTAGGTATCCGAGCCCTCGGGCTTCCAGCGTCCTAGCATATCTCTATCTGCCGGCGGGATCGGCTTTAGGCTCAGTCCGGTGGGCAGCACTGCTCTCTCGCTGTGTTCCGACCAGTAGCCTCGGGCCACCGTCGGGATCCCCACCATAGCCAGTAGCCCCGCTGTAGCCACCATCGCATCTGCGTAGGTAGCCATCTTCTTCTCCAGGGCGCCTCTCTCGCCTAGCCTGGGCATAAGATAGTCTCGCTGGTAGCCCGCGTGGTTCTTTAGCAGGTCGAAGCCCGCCTGTAGCCAGCCCGGGTCCTCGAAGTAGGCTCTCTCCGAGATGCATACAGGTAGCTCCCGTATGCGTCTGTTAGCCCCGGTGGTTTTTGTCCGGATGGTGGTTAGCCGACCTTCCACCATAGCCAGCTCATTTGGGACCATAGCCTGGAGGTCCGACCATCGCAAGCTGCCCCAAGCCTTTAGGAGCTTGGCCCAGGCCCAAGCTCTCCAGCCGACGGCCACAGTTGTATCCAGGACCAGGCGCTCCCACCTAGCCAGGATAGCCGCTGGATATCGGGGGGCGCGCCTCGTCCAGGGCGCCTTCCAGGATAGCCTCTCGACGACCGTATCCTTGATCGCCCACGCTATCCTGCCTGAGGTAGCTCTCGACTCGGTCGCCCATTCCGCGACCCTCTCTATCCAGCTGATGGCCTTGAGGATCGCCTCGGGGACCGTTCGCCCGCAGGGCTCGTCGCCCCTAGCCATAATGTAGTCGGCCAGGTCGGCCGGTAGCCCAGGGGGGCGTCCACTCTTAGCCTCCTGTGCCATAGCCGCCACCTCACGTGTATCGAGACTTGAGAGTGCTAGCCCGGGTTCCCCGCTAGCGCCAGGACTGCTCTATCCGGGTCTAGGCACCCCTGTAGCTTCTTCAGCACTGGCGCCTCGCACAGTTCTAGCTCTTCCTTGAGCTTTATAGCCCAGGTTGCTTGTAGCCTCTCTTCCCTAGCCTGTGCCAGGGAGCCCTCGTTGACCAAGCGCTTCTGCCTATCCCCTTTCGGGGGCTCCGGCTCGCTATCCTCCTGAAGGTCGATACCTTCGATCGCCGGCCGCTTGCTGAGGTTAGCCCAAGCTAGCGAAGTTGCTCTGTATCCCGACGATCTCTCCACCAGGTCTCTAGCTTCCTGGGCGTCTTGTATCCACAGGTAGATCGAGTCGCCGATGTACTCGTCGTAGCCAACGCCCAGCTCCTCAGCCACTTGGTGCCCAATATCTTCCGCGTCCTCTAGACCGAGGGTAGCCAGCTCGAGCACACCGAAGCCCCGCGACGCCAGATGCTCATGGCATCTATCCAGCACCGCACGCTTCTGCACAAGAGCGCTATCCAACAAGGACGGAAGTCCGATGGGGCTCCCTATCCCACCGGAGGGAGTAGCCGGTCCGACGCCCTGCCCTTCCGGCTCCGCCGTGGGCAAGACGGTTGGAGGCCTTTGCCAAAGGCGACCCCAAGAAAGTGATAGCTGCGCTAGAACTGCTAGCGACCCTCGTGGGGATACGTCTCTGGGTCCCCGAGGGCGAGGATAGGAAGACCTCGCGAGTGGCCATCCGCGGCTATACGGATAACAAGTCCAATGAGGCACTTGTGAAGAAGGCTATGACGACCAAGTATCCCTCCATGCTAGTTTTAATGGAGATAGCAGAAGAGCTATCCCAGAAAAACTGTGAGCTACAGCTCCAGTGGATACGGAGAGACATCAACCAGCTAGCGGATGACCTCACGAACGAGGAGTTCAAGGAATTCGATCCCTCTCAGAGGATAGATCTGAAAGGAGAGGAATTCCAGTGGCGTGTTCTGGGCCGGCTACTCGCGCATGCAGATAGCTTCTACCAGGAGCTAGGCACGCGAAAGCGAGGGACCCCCGGATAGGGTGTCCAAGTTTAGCCGTAAGGCCAGAAAGCTAGATCCCTGGTAGCCTGAGTGGCGATGCGTGGGGATAGATAGCCGAAGGCTATCAGTTATCTCCAGGCAACCTGGGATAGTTGCCACTCCAGACAAAAGAACGTCCGTGCTAGCTGTGTTGCTTGTCCGTCTGGTCGTCGCTCGGCTAGCTCGCTAGCTATCTACTTTCGCACTACTATCGTCCTGGTGGAGTTCCGGGGATGGTGGTGGGATATAGGAGCTAGTGCACGTACCTCGTGACGAGGAACGAGTTACGACTATGTGTGCTAGCTAACCTATTACTACTCGAAGCTATCGAAGGTAGCTTCGCTAGAAACGAAGTTTCGTTCGCTATCGTCGCTCGCAGGAGAGTTGCCTCTGACATGCGAAGACAGGATAGCTGTGACTTGGAATGGCTACGACGGTGTGTGACCGTGGCCATTCTGGATAAAGTCCCCCATCAGGGGGGGTAATTTTGAAGTACCCACCCTGCCCACCCTGGGGATAGATAGCCGAAGGCTATCAGTTATCTCCAGGCAACCTGGGATAGTTGCCACTCCAGACAAAAGAACGTCCGTGCTAGCTGTGTTGCTTGTCCGTCTGGTCGTCGCTCGGCTAGCTCGCTAGCTATCTACTTTTGTACTACTATCGTCCTGGTGGAGATCCGGGGATGGTGGTGGGATATAGGAGCTAGTGCACCTCAAGGAGATCAAGGACCCCAGCCTGGGGGAGGAGCATCCCCTGGAGGTCAGAGTGCCACGTCGGCACCTGCAGCAGGGTCGGCGCCCGCGCCGCCTGTGGACCCTGGAGTTGTAGTGCAGCAGTTGGCAACAGCTTTGTCTTTGCTGGCTGCGAACCAGCAAGATTCTTCTGTGAGAGAAGCCAAGTTTGTGAAAGCTCCTGATGTGTTTGCGCCCAAAACCCTTGATGAAGAACAGGCCGGTTGGCCGGATTGGTCCTTCTGTTTTCGTAATTGGCTTTCAGTACAGGACGGGGCATTTAGGGACGATCTTCTGAAAGTCGAGAAAGCCACCGAGATCCTCGCATTTGCCGATTACGAGTCCGGAACCAAAGCTCGAAGCATCAGATTGTACTCTATATTGGCGACTTATCTTCGGAACCGTCCTCTCCGATTGCTGCGGTCGGTAGCAGACGGTGACGGGTTCCGTGTGTGGCGCTCTTTGGTAGATGAACTCCAACCTTCTAGTCGTCCTCGAGCACTTGCGTTGGCACAGGCTTTGGTAAAGTTCCCACCGTACAAAGAGGGCGGCAGTTTGCTAGACTACACCCTTGCGTTCGAGAGACTCCTCACAGAGTACGCAAAGGTTGCACCTCATCCCTACGACGACAACTTGAAAATTTCAACGCTCCTGGCAGGACTGCCTAGCGACGTGCGGAAGTACCTGGAGCTGAACATGGACGACAGCATGACCTACGAGAAGCTGCGCACCCGGTTGCTGCAGTATGAACGGACTACCGCAGGGTGGTCTTCGGAGCATGTGTTGCGGTCGGTTGGCATCGACAAAGATTCGAAGTTCTTGGACACGTCAGATGTTGTGCCAATGGAGGTAGATCGCGTTGAGAAAGGAAAAGGGAAGAAGGGCTTTGGCAAGAAGGGCACCGGCAAGAAGGGCGACAACAACTACTATCAGAAGGGCAAGGGTGACCATTGGAGCAAAGGTAGTTACAACAACAACGCCTACAACAACAGCTACAAGGGAGATAAAGGAAAAGGAAAAGGCTCTTGGGGAAAGGACAAAGGAAAGGGGCATGGAGGCAAGAAGGGAGGCAAGGGAAAAGGCAAGCAGATTGGTCCCTGTCACAAGTGCGGTCGCATGGGACATCTTCAAGCTGATTGCAGAGTAGGGTTTGTGCAGCAAGTTCAACAGCCAGTTCCTGATGATGCTTCTACTGGTATTCCTTCGTCTGCAGCGTCTACTGCTAGTGTGCCTTCGTCTTCTACCTCTAGTGCCCGGAACCCCTCGAGAGCAACCACAAATGTTCGTCGTCTTGAAGTAGTGCACGAGCAGCCCAATGACATCAACCTAGTGATCTTCGAGACTCCCCAGACTCCCACCTGTGAGTTCTTCGATTTGGCCTGTGAGGACGATGACTGGGATGACTATTTCGACGAGCCCGATGAGTACCAGGTACGTGCCGTGGAACTTTGTGCGGGAAGTGCCTTAGAAGTTGAAGCTGAAGCCGAAGCTGAGCTCCAGTCGAGTAGCACGCTGGTGTTTGACATAGCGGAGAGTGATGAAGACAGTGATTGTGAGCATGACGTTCGTATGGTCAGTGAGCAGCCGATGCAGCATGAGTTTGAGCAAGTGATCTTGGATTCTGGAGCGGATGTGACAGTGCTTCCCCTCTCCCACGGCGCGGTAGGAGAACCCAATGCAAACAATACCATGATCCGCGATGCCCAAGGTAATGTCATCCCGATGGCGAGCTACAGAAAGAACGTGGTCTTTGAAGTCGAGGGCAACGAAGGCCAGCGGCTGGTCTTCCGGGACAAAGTTGTCGTAGCTCAAGTGAAGCAGCCTCTTTTGAGTGTGGGGAAGCTGATTCGAGATCACTGGAGCCTCGGGGATGTTGACGGCCGTTTGCAGATGAGCAAGGGTGGCAACAGCTTCCCAGTGCACATGTCTCGGAACTCGCTTGCAGCAAACATGAAGATTTATCGACTTGAGGAACATGTCCGTGCAGTTGTGATTGAGCTTTCCGAGTTGATGGAGAGCGGCACTGAGATTCAAGGGTGGAGCCTCTCCCCAGATGGGGGCCCCATGCACGTGAGCACAAGCAGCAGCTGCACCGTTGATCCTTCTCTGGTGTTCCCTTCGCAGCAGTGGCCGTTTCGCACCACGTTGCTTTCACAGGGTGATCGTCGATATGAAGTGTTTGAGTCTGGCGAATATTGGGAGGATCGGAAAACTTTGAGCACAGAACGTCCTGCAACCAAAGTTGTTACTATCTTGAGTGCTGCACCAGTGGAGCCCAGGGACATTGGAAAGGTGATTGTAAATGAGCAGTTTCGTCCTGAATACATTGTTCCCGAAGAAGCCCCTGCTCATGATGACGGTGATGCTTGGATGGCGGCGGCCCCTGAACGTGTTCCCGATTCTCCTCCAGCCCAGGTTGATGGACAGCGCGGTGGCGGCGCTGAAGAACAAGGCGATCCTGTGGGTCCCGAGGTCCACCTGGCTGCGGGGAGACAAGCAACTTTGGTGGTTAATGATGTTGAGCTCACTGAAGACTCTTCGCTGAAAGTGTTGCGTAGAGCATGCCAGTTTCTTCGAGTGAGCAAGAATGGGAGCAAGGCTGTACTGTGGAGCAGGCTTCAGAGTGAGGTAGCAGATTCTCAGCTTCGACATTCTGTGCAGTGCAAGCAGCTGATGCAGTGTTGGAAGCATACCGCCGAGAACCTCAAACGGAATCTGGAACAGCTCCTCCGGATGCCGAGACGGTGGCACTTCATGAAGTCACCCACTGCCCCAGAATGCCGTGGTGCAATGCATGTGTGGCTTCGCGGTCTAGAGAGGACAACCATTCGGCAAGTACTCCAAAAGAGCTGGGGGTGATCCACTTTGACTACATGTTTAACAAAACAGAAGCAGCCCAAGGAAGCCCTGAACACCCCATGGCAGTGCATGTCGTTATGGTCGATGAGCACACAAACTTTGTGCAGTGTGTGCCTGTGGAGTCGAAGAGTGCAGAACATGTGCGTGTAGCAGTCGATGAGGCTGTGAAGATGGCCTCTCTCCTTGGCCACACCAACCTGACGCTGCGTGGAGACAGCGAGCCGGCGATGAAGGCGTTCATGGCAGCGATCGTGCAAGCAAGGACCCGATTGGGGTTAGCGACCAAGGTTACTTATGCTGCGCCGGATTCGAGCTTGCATCAAGGTTTGAAGGCAGAGCGCTTTATTGGCATTGTTCGGGGTTTGGCCAAGACTTTGCTGAGAACGATTGAAGAGCGGACTGGATTCCAAGTCCAGAGTGGGCACCCGGTTTATGTTTGGGCTTTTCGACACAGTGCCTTCCTTTACAGCAGGTTTCATGTGCAACGTGACGGTATGACTGCATTCGAACTTGTGCACAGTCGGCCTTATGCAGGGAAGCTTTGCGCTTTTGGTTCCTCGGTGTTCTCCACACGCTGCTGCTAAAGGAAGCGGTTGGAAGAGATCGATTTTCCTTGGAAAGTCAACACTTGGCAACCTGAACATTGTGGCTGATAGCTCAGGTGTGCACTATGCCAGAACGATGCGAAAAGGTGCCTTAGGATTTGAAAGTGAGCTGATTGCGAGCGCAAAGGGAGTGCCCTGGAATGCAACATTGGATGTTTTGCCAACAAAGAGGTCGAGGGCCCCAAGGATTAGAGCACCAGCACTTATTGAGCCAGTTGATCCTGTGGTTCATGCGCCGGGCCCTGGGCCCGATGAAGCTGCGAGCGACCCTACGTCGCCGTCCGCGAGCCGGGGTAGTGCTTCTAGTGCTGGTGGAGTTGGCTCTATGTCGACTAGTTCCTCTAGTTCTGCTGAGATGATGACTGATGCAGAGATGGGCCAGGCCTCGGCACACAGAGTAGATGGTGGTGATCCTTGTGAAGCTTTTGCAAGAAGGGTTCGAGAGGACCAACCGTGTGGTCACGAGCCAGAGGTGATTCCGGAAACAGACATGGACTTGAGCTTCGAAGATATGGAGTGGAAAAGGAAGAAGATGAAGACCCGAACTTGGAAGCTAAGCAAGCAGCCAAGGAGTGGGCCCATCGTCGATACGAGGATGGACCTCCGGAGCTCTCCGAGGAGTACCTTTGCCGCCTTGACGCAGCTATGGATGCTTTGGAAGTCAAGCGTTTGTTGGCACTTGGAGTGGTTCGCAAGCTTGGGGATAACCAGCAAGGGGGGAATGCGCCAGAAGGAATGAAGAAGCTTCAATCACGATTCGTTCGTGACTGGCGCTTCCGCGGCAACTGCTGGATTAGGCGATCAAGGCTTGTCGCCAAGGAGTTCAAATTCTTGGAACCCGAGCTTGAGCACTTGTACGCACCAGCTTCCATGGCAGTACTTCAGCGTGTCTTTGCAGGGTTGTGTGCGAGTGGTGAGAATTTAGCTTTATAGCGTTGATGTGAGTGACGCTTACCTACAAGTTCCACAGAGTTGCCCTACATGCATCATTTCGAATGACGGAGAGTATCTTGAGCTGTTGTACAGCCTTCCTGGTCAGAGGGATGCTGCTCGAGGGTGGTATCTTCATCTCAAGGAAATCGTGAAGGGCAATCGCTTGAAGCCTTTTGAGGGTGCTCCTGCAGTGTTTTATGAGAAAGGAAAACTTGCGTGCAACAGCCATGTAGATGACTTGCAGCTTTGTGGCGGTGACGCTCGCGCACAGGAGTTACTGGGCAGCCTGAAGAAGGGCGGCTTGAAGGTCAAGGTCGAGGGACCTGTCCGAATTGATGGAGGAGAGTGTCGCTTCTTGAAGCGGTTGTTCGTCGGGGATGGTTCAGGTATTTTGGTTGTTCCTGAAGAGAAGTATGTGACCAAGTTGTGCGAAATATTGAAGCTTGAGAGGGCAGCCCCGAAGCCAACACCTTTGCCATCGTCGTTGAAGCGGCCAGTGAGAGATCCAGAACTTGAAGGTGACGATTATTCTACATATAGGAGTGGCCTAGGGTTGCTGCTTTACACTTGCTCGGACTACCCCGAGATACACTTTGCCGTGCGCATGCTTGGTTCTAGATGCTCGAGTCCCACCGAGTATGACCTTATGCTCATGCGTCACGTCGGGAAGTACTTGAAGGGTCGTGAGAACTATGTGTTGAAACTCTCCAGAACCAGCCCAGGCACCACTTTTGAAGAACGAGTACGCAAGATGGATTCGTTGGAAGATGAGGACTGGAGGGTCAGTAGTGCAGAGCCTAGCTTTAAGCAAGGCCATCTCATCGAGATTGTCACTGATGCCGATTGGGCTTCATCGCATTTCTCGCGGAAGAGTGTGAGCTGTTACTCGATGTACCTGAACGGGAACTGCGTGTATGTGTCCACGAAACTTCAACAGACTTTGGCTTTATCCAGTTGCGAGGCTGAATACATGGCCTCACTAGCAGGGTGTGCCGATGCATTGTTCGTGAAGGCATTGCTTGAAGAGGTCACGGATTCAGAGGTCACGATCATCCATAGGACGGACAACTCAGGAGCTAGAGCAATTATTTCAAAGCAAGGATGTGGACGTTTGCGCCACATTGACCTTGCTTACTTGTGGCTGCAACGTGAGTACCAGCTTGGACGTGTGATTGAGAAAGTGATTACAACCGAAGCGTGCCCACCGGACATTGGCACCAAGGCTCATCCACGTAGGAGACAACAGTTTCTACTTGGTCTCTTAGGCTTTGTAAACAAGGACACCAAAGAGCTTGCGGGATCAGATGATGTGAATGCGTATCTCATCCAGAGTGGCTTGAAGAGCGGTTTGAAGAGTAGGAGTGGAAAGGCAGCAGTCCGTCTCATCATGGCAATGTTGTTAACGGACCCCGCGGATGCTGCGAACATCAAGGATGACAACGCGGCGGAGTTCAGCGATCACTTCCTCACGAGCTTCGTCATGGTGATGATTGGATTCTTCATTGTCGGCATCTTCACCTACATTGTCTTCTACTTCAACAAGTTGTGCGTGAACAAGGAGAACAAGTGCTTCCGCATCCTCGTGCTCCTGGCCCTTTTCCTCTTCCAGGCGGACGCGGTGAAGTATACCATCACGATTGAGATTGATGGTGAAGGTCGAGTCCAACGTGAAGGTGATGAGCAACTACATGGGTTCACTTTGGTGGAAAGCGCGAGCTCTCAACCTATTGTTGCCCCCGGTGGTGGCGCTACTTCGTCTACGAGTTCTGCGACTGGTGGTGCTACGTCCTCTTCTTCGTCTACGGCAGCTTCTTCGGCAACCACAGGTCCTACGACAACGAGTGGAGCCCCAGCTACGAGAGCAACAACGGAGGATGGACCGCCCGTTGGGTATGCATCTGGCGTCGTCACCGTTTGGCGCATTGGTCATGGAAGCTGCTATCACAGGCAGTTTTGTGGAATGGTGAATCGTGCACGCCGTGTGGAGCCGCACAAGCTTCTTGAGCTTAGTCGACGACAGGCGGAGGCAGCTGGACTGAAACCTGCAGACAGTGTGGTCCTGAGTCGAACGCGTAGTTTTGTACAGCAGGTGTGTGTAGTGAAGACACACGTTTTCTCCAGAAGTCGCTTTTGGACCTTTGCGTAGATAGGTTCGCGCAGTTGTGTATCGCATGTTGCAATGCAGTTCAGAAGCTGTTAACATGCAGTTTTCTTTTGGTGAACACTGAGCCGTGTAGGGACATGTGCATTCTAGAAGAAGAAAGGCCCCAAGATGCCAATGCACAGTCCGGTAACAAGCACCGTTGGTCAGGCTAGTCGAAAAGCTGTGACCCGCAAGAAGGTCCCTGACCATCAACTTTGCATGTACAGTTGTAAGCCTTAGGTCGTGGAGCGCTCTAAGCTTTGTGTGCAGTGTGCTGAGCTTCTGTTTTGGAGAACCATAGTGGCGTGTAACGTCGGCTACTTAAAAAAGTGGCATTGGCTCCGAAAGTTTGCAGCAGATGATTGTCTTTGAAGGACTATCATCTGAGGGGGGTTTCAAACTTTTCCAGAACCCAGGAACCTGTTTTCATGTGCTTAAGACAGCACTTGCAAAGAACAACTTGTGACCGACTGCAAGGCTCAAAGAAGTGTGAAAATAAGTGACTCGTGCGTTTTCCGCGCACTCTGTTGAGAGGACTGCCATTCGCACAGAAGCTGCTCATCAGGCATCAAATCGGAGGCAACACCAGAAGGCTCAGCCGCCGCTCGCTTCTCACTTGGCCCCGCTGGCTCACTAGAAGCCTCACGCTTGGTGCCTCGCGAGGGAGGAGCATTTGACGCAGACGATGGCTCAGCTGACACATCACCCATATCATCTTGATGGCTCAAGGCTTGGGACATCAACCTAGGCACCACCTCTTGCATCATTTCAGCGAAATCATCTTGAAGCATTGCATGGGTCTCAACAAGGTTTCGGGAGAGGTCTTACTACGGAGCCGGCTTCGCACGGGACCATAGGTGGCTTCAGCTGTAGGCTCATGCTCGCGAGAGGGGTACGGTGCCGTGCTACCAGACGACCCTTGTTCAGGTACTGAAGGTTCAGGCTGATTTCGGAAGGCCTGTTGTGGGCTCTCCGATTGCAGAGGTGGCGGAGGTGCTGCCACCGCAGGTGCGCGGTGTTCGGCCGACTCCTCGGCGGCCATTCGTTCTTCACTTGAAGAGGCAGGGGGAACACCTTCGGAGATGACATCCACATACTGTTTCGTAGATATGGCTCCATTCTCTAGCATCTGTTTGATTCCAAGAAGCTCGAGACCGGGTGTGTCAAGAAGAGTTTCTTCTTCGGAGGTTGACGGTCGAACCTGTTCCGGTGCACACCGAAGGATCTGCTTCTTATGGATTACAACCAGGTTTCTGCCAACATAGCCTAGCACAACAGCAGGACCATACCACCGGCCACCACGCTCAATGACGCCTTCATGTGACTTCTGCGTCCGCCAATAGGCTACTCTGGCTCCTGGTGCATAAGCCTTGACCGTTCTAGTCCTAGCTTGCAACCCAAGCCTAAGTGCTTTATCATCCTGAAGAGCAATGACAGCATGGCGAGCCGCCTGTCTGGTGGCCACACGTCTGGCCAGCCCCTCTTCGTACAAGGAGGCGGTCGCCGGGATCACCTGCAAAGGCTCATCAAGGAGATCGGTGGGAACCCTAGGGTTCCGTCCAAACACATACTGGGCTGGAGTCATGCCATACACCTGAATGAGCTCATTCTTGCAGTGAGCAGCGTACACACATTCTAGCCATGCTGCTCTGTCGTGGGGCATAACCTCTGCAAGAACCTTTTCTAAGACCCTGCTAAACCAACCCCCATGGACCTCCACCTTTCCCAACTGCCAGTGTGCTTCGGCAGCCGTGGAGGAGATATGAGAGCCAGCGAGCTCTTGCGGCACAGTCAGGGCGGCACTAAGGTTTGCCTGATCGGGATCCACTATGATTTCCTCGGGAATGCCCGCCCAGGTAACCCAAGGTTCTTGCAAGGCTTGTCTCAAGGACTCCCCGGTGGCTCTACCTGGAAGTGGAACCATGACCTGATAGCTGCTAGCATAATCAACGATGTTCAAGCAAGGAATCTTCTGGTTGGGCTGCCACCCTGGCAGGTACTTAACGTCCAAGCCCACACGCTGATTGAAGTGTGTTGCTCTGTTCGTTTGAGCCGGCGGTGGAGGCACAGGTGGCTTCTGTGCACGACACACATCGCATTCCACTTCACGGGCCAGCTCAATTGCTTGTTGACTGGCACCACCATGCTTGAGTACCCTGGCCAAGCTAGCACACGACGGATGACCCAAGTTCACATGCAATCTGAGCAGTGATCGCAACATTTGCTCACCCTTCTGCTCGTTCAGTTGCTGCACTCGCGCTGCAACAAGGCATTCCTTGTCAGGCTGGGCTTGCACACGGAGCGCCTCTGTCTTGGACACTCCTTTAACAGAACGCAGAACCATTCGAACAAACGCTGGTGGATATTGGGCAGCAAATCGGCCCAAGGACGTACGGGACCCAGCCGGTGAGACATGATCCGAGTGCCCAGGACAGGCGCGACCCAAGGAGCGCAAGTGCGCATGTGATACAAGAAAGCGGAGGGTCTTGCGCAACGGCACACCATTGTCCGGAGACTTCAAACCAAAAGCACACATGGACACTTGGATTGGGAACATCTGTTTCTCCAACCGCTCTAGCTTAACTGATCGGACGCCGGACGTGGCTGCCAATTGCTCGAAAACAAGGTGCCTGCCAGCTGAAAGCTGCACCTGCGCCACATCAGCCGCAAAGCCGCACATCAACTTAAGCATTCGTTCCCGCTCAGTGTGCTGAGCTGCGCTAAGGTGAGGACTATCTAAGTCATACCAACCTCCTAGCCAAGAACACGGGTTTCCTATCACCACTAGCACGGGCTGATGTGCACGCACCAATTCAATCAGCTCTTGGCGGGCCGTAGGATTTCGGAAATCCCAGCCAGTTGCACGATCTGCCGAAAGGCAATTGTATCCCTTAGTTATGGCTACATTGGCAAACTGAGGCGGTCCAAACACTTCTATCACCTGAAACCGTTGCTTATTCTCTCCAGCAGGCTTCTTAGTTTCTCTCTTGGCTAAGAACTTCAGCTGTCTGCGCTGCCGCCGGGTCCACTGACTCAAGGGAACAGCTGGCTCTGCTGGAGCAGCCGGGGGCGGACACACCTCAAAGACTGTGCGGCCGGTCCAACACGAACCCGGCACTGCTTGTGACGGAACATGCCAATCATCACTCACATTCAGCGGGCTACCATCCGAGAGAATTCCTAAAGTCCTTCTTTGTCCCTGCAGTTGCTCAACAGATACGGGACACCCGGGCACTTCAAGAGGATCAAAAAGGTTGCGTCTTGGCTGCACATGTACCCTTATTACCTGCATCCCTTGACACTCCCAGTAGTCGTGATCAGTCACCTTGCTATCCGAGGCGCGGGGCGCCAGCATGGCAACGGAATCCTCGGAGCCGGTGGTCTCCTCATCGACAATCCGGTCGGTCTGCATCTGGATGCACTCCGGGTTCTGATCAATCACCGGCACGACATACTGGCCAGCCTCGTTCACCTGGAGGGGGATGCGGACACCTTCCTTGAACAGCATGGGGGCATCATTGGCGAAGTCAAGGCACGCCTTCAGCTTTTTCAAGGCTGGGCGCGACAAGGGGAGTGGCGCCTTGCCACGGATCACAGCTGCTCGGACCACGCCAGCCTTCCCAGCCAATCGTAGAGGCATCTCAACCACACGATTTGACACCTCAAGGTGCCCATTGCCGAACCGGAAGCTGTTCTGCTCGGCAACCTCCACGGCTGCCTTCATTCCAGCTTCCTGCCAAAGCCGCCGGAACTGGTTCAGGGTCTCCAGGCCGATCACACTTCGGCCACATCCCGAGTCCAACACAGCGTAGCCGGGGCTCGAAATCAACATCATCGGGGAGCTTGCCGTCAGAGAGCGGCTCCTCATTCTGTCCAGCAACGTGGCTCCGGGCCCTGGCCCAGGCGCCTCAAGCGTCACACTGCAGATGAAGTCCGGGAGCTGGTGCTGAATCAAGCCCGCTCCCGAGGGTCTGCGCCAGAAGCCGCAGACGAGCGAGGCAGTTTGCACTCGCGAGCCCAGTGGCCTGTTCGGCCACATCTGTGACACTGTGTCTTCTTCTTCAACTCTTCCACCTCGACTCGGAAACTTCGTTTGACGTCCGTGGCCTGAAAACAACTCGGCCCGCTTGTCTTTCCAGGAGGCAGCTAACAGCTAACACCTCAGCAACATCCCTTTCAGGATACACTTCCACCTCCTCAACGGGCTCGTAGAGGTCATGCTCGGTCAGGAACATCTCGACGTCGCCGAAGGCAGTCTCCAGCTCCTCAGTGAAGAGCTCCTGCTCACCGCTTGCCTCGGCCTGGTTGTAGTCGTACCAGGCCTCGTTCTCATCCTCGACGTAGTGCGCGGCAGCAACTCTCCTCTTCGGCACCACATACTCGGGATAGCACGAACGCATTGCTTGCGATACATCGTCAAACTTCAAAGATCCGCCGCAGCGGGCCAAAACCACGGCCTTTGCTCTTCAGTGAGCCCGCTCCGGTGCAAGGTGATCCACCCTCTGGCCTCCTCGGGGAAGGTCACCTCAGTCTTCCGCTTGCAGCGATTGCAGCGATCGAAGACCTCCTGCGCACGGGAGCTCCAGTTCCGGATGGTTTCTCCATCCCTGGCTGCCAAAAGAAAAACTTCTGACACATGCTCACCAAGCTCATCCATCCTATCTTTCTGCGGCCATCGCTTGTCCAAGAGCTCCAGTAGGACTCTGTCACCGCCGTCCTTCTGATACTCCTCCGGCTTCAGGTGCTCGACAACCTCCAAGGCTCGGCCCTGCAGAAGAGTAAAGATAAAGGCTCCCCGAGCCTCCTTCGGCAGATCATCCATTGTCGGGATCTTGCTCTGAATCCACTGCTTCCAGCGGCGATACTCACGGTGATCACCATCATCACCACTGAAGTAGCGCATCGATGGGCCGCCTTCCATGGCGGCAACGGTTGTCGTCTCCTGACGACAAAATCTTGGAGCCCGCAGGCTCCGCTACCAATTATGGTAGCCCGAACTACACTTCTCCTGAAGTGTCTTTTGCCTCGAGGCCATGAAAGTGCCTGCAGGTATGTGACATGTCGGCCTCCAGCTGACACATTGACACGAACAACCCTAAACCATACTGACGATTGAACCAAAGCCCCACAAGAACCTGAAGGTCCCAGCTTCATGATGCAGAAGAGTTGCCGCCATGGAGTCCAAACTGAGGGCGAATCCAGGTCTGAGCATGAAGGAGTATGTGGACCAGACGATTCATGATGCCTTGGAGATGTTCGGGTCTGGGGAGGTGCCACCATGCAAGCTGTCGTCCGTGTCTTTAACGAAACAGCACACTTGGATTGCAGGCCAATCTGAGGAGACTACAGAGATCTCTAGGCCAGGCTGTTGTATTGCGGTCTTACAACATAATAGCTAGCAGCAGCTAGCACGTTTAACTGGATTGCAGCTGCTGCCCAACAATTGCAGGCCGGTTGCGCGAGCTGCCCCGTAGCTTGATTCCGCTGCCCCGCCTCAATTACCTAGCAGCTCCTTTGCTATGGAAATTTTCGTACCCTAAGATTTCCCCGCGCGGCGTTCAAGCATGTGGATTTCCAGGCGCTTTCCGGATTTCTGTGCGTGATGATTGACAAAGCTACTTATTCCCCAACATCGTCGTTTCTTTGTACATTATCTACACAGTCCTGTCACGAAAGCCCCTTATATATCGCCGCGAACTCTGATGATATATATATATATATATATATATGTATCGATCTATATGGTTCAGGGTGTATACATAATTGTGTGGCTTCTCTCCAAAGCAGGAGCCGGATTGGCAATGGGTGCTCCTGTGTGATATCACATCTACGAAAACTTAAGTACGTCCACATATACATTATAATGCGAATGCACATGCATGTCCTTCACGAACCTCTGCGAGCACGTCGTTCAAGTTCTGGTTGGTATCCAAAGCTTTTCTTGCCGAGCTTGCGATTCTGCCAGGGGGGGAGGCTTCAAGACCTGCCATCCGGGCTTGTGATGCCTTACCCACATGCGTGCGACAAGCTATAAATGCTCATGATGAACTGCAGCCCGGCAAACGTGATGCAGGCTTCAAGCTCGGCCTCAATCATCGAATCCATAACGGATTCGCAACTGCCGTTCCGCCCACCGTGGCCACTACACGAAGCCCAAAATGTGCGATTGCATGCCTGCCACACACGGATCACCTGCTGCTGGCTGTCAAAAATCCAAAAAAACATGCGGCAAGTGTGATTTCCATGAGCGACGAGGAGCCTAAAGTTATGTTTTTTAATTTGCGTGCGTGTTGCTGGGATTTGCGTGCGTGTTGCGGGTATTTGCGTGCGTGTTGCGGGGCCTCGGGTCCACCTAAAAAGTACAAAAAGCAAAAAACATGCGAAAAAACGAAAAACATGAGTCAGGTTTGGTTTGGTTGCCTGCAACCCTGTTCGTCTCTGGCGAAACCCATGGAATTTCTGTTTGTGGCCTTCTGGGGCCTCTTGGGGTCTCTGCGTACCGGGAGCCTGGTATTTGGGCTGAGTACTAGCTTGAGAAGGAAAAACTCTCATGCATCGAGGAGTTGAAGGAAGTGACCCAAGAGGCTTTTGCGAACAGGGTCTTGGGTCACTTGTCCACACCCTCCGGAAACCACCCCACACCCATCACAATGAACACAGGGGCCCAGCATCATGAGCATCACCCGGGATTTGTGGGCATAGGGAGGCCAATTTGCGGCTGGTTGGGTGGAGTTGAAGGACCGTTGCAGGATGGCAACATCGTGGTCACCAAGCACGTTCTTCCGAATTACTTCCACAAAAATATCTATATCAATATATGTAGGTTTATTAATTGTCTGCTAAATATCGATATGCATGTGTATATATATATATATATATATATACACATGTATGTATAACGGTTGTATACCCAGATAGAGACTTACACACGATGCAGGTTTAAAGTCGAAGTCCAAAGTAGCTAGGCGAACCATCATGTGTATGCCGCGGAGCCTCCAAGCAGCAGCAATCTCGATTTCAACGCGTTTCTCTAAAATCCATGCGTGACTGGTTTCGCGCTCGATTTAAGCGCTCTTTTAAGGGTTTCCCAGCGTTTCTCTATGATCATGGAAAAAACCCTTACGGAGGAGCGCCTAGGTAAATCGCATGGAGCGATGATTTTCTGAAGTTGTCAGTTTCATGCATCTCAGGCGGGATACGCTGGAGCTGTACTCCTGCCAGTCTTATGGGACTGGTCCTGTTATCGCGAGATGGCTGAAGAAACAAGACCGGAGAAGCCCGGCAATCAATCCGCGCGCAGTCTAAACTCAGAGTGCCCTCTGATCGAAACAGATCTAGGTTAGTCCTGCGTGATCCCAGGAGCAGCCTTGCCTCGAGCTTTCCAGCTGGATGTGCCAATGGCGGCTGGGACGCATGCAATGTTTGATGTACCCCCCTTTAACACACATTATAGCAAACATGGCAATGACTAATTGTTCTCAGGAGTACATTGACGCCCGGGGCGAACGCAGGACGACGACCATCAAGCACGAACTCCACGAGATGGTGGCATCATTCTACAGACCAGAAGACTTGTTCTCGCTTCTTACAGGACCCCCAGGAGCCTCATAATTAGTCGAAGAAACAAGCATGCTCATGCGCCGACATCTTCATCCCAGGCTTGAAATGCACATGCAGCTCAGGCTCTTCGGTCATATTGGCAAGAGGAGCTGGCCGCGACGAGTGCATTTGTGAGCAGCTGCCCGCTGGGCCGAATTGGGTGGGGAGTTTGCTGATCTTGGCGTGGTCTGTCTGCAGGACCCCGATTGCAATCTCGATTACGTGGTGCCGTTACGACTTTATGGTGACGGCGCAGGCGGAGATGCTTATCGCTATAAACTCAGCCACTACATCATCATGCAAGCATGAATGACATACCTCATGAGGTCGGTTTACTGCTGAAGCACGCGCACATACTAAGGCAAACAGAAATTCGAGATTCTGACGCTCGTGACCGTCCCAAAGACTGAAGCTGAGACGTCCACCTTGAACACACGGTTCCTGTGTCTCGATGTGCAGATTATAACCTTGGATCGAAACGAAGCACATAAGCCCTGAATTACGTCGGCCACACCTCTATCATGTATGAATGCCACCTACTGCAGCAAGCCTGCGCGGGACAAGCTGCTGACCATTATAGCATGGAGTTTTAACTGCCTGAGTCACTCGACTGATTCTTGCAAGCCATGCACATGAGCTGGTCGCATTTGAAGAACTGTGTCGAGTATGCAGCCCTCACTGCGATGCATTCGGGAAGGAGTTTGAGTCGGCCTACATGCCGGAGAGGGCAAAAATGGCAGGCCAACGAATCTGTGGCCCTACATATGCATCTTTGATGGCTTTCAAGCCGATTGGGAATACCACAAGCTTTGGCACTGTCCTTTGAAATTTCGGTTATAGCTCTTACTCTAGGGAAGTTTCAAAGGACAGTGGTTTTAGATGGGTTCTACGATATTGTCATCTAAATCCACTGTCCTTTGAAACTTCCCTCTCTTACTCTAGGGAAGTTTCAAAGGACAGTGGTCTAGGGAAGTTTCAAAGGACAGTGGTTTTAGGTGGATTCTAGTGGTTCTGGGTGGGTTCTGCGATATTACGAACGATTTTCCTGTATTCGTTGGCATGGTTTTACATTGATTTTATCATGCATTTTACTTTCGCTCCTTTAGTTGTGCACATGCTGATTCCGAGATACCTGAAGGCTTTTGTTGCTCGAGGATAGTGGAAAAGTTCGTATGGTAGCGGAGCCGCGGTACTGCCAGGATTTCTGGAATCTCCTGGTGCCGTGGTTCGGGGACTGGACCCAATCCCCAACACAGAGAGGTAGTGACAAGCAACAACATCACGACACGTCTTTGGTTTCTGGGTTTTGCATTGCGAGATCCGTTCAGGAACCGAGGTCTTTGATTGTCTGTGCAACTTTAGGCGTCAAGCGCGGCGGGTAGCCTGCAGACGCCGGCTCTCAAGCCAGGCTGTAGTGCCATGGCTCAGCAAGGTGCACAGGCTGCACATGTGCCTGTGGATGACATAGATGATGATTTGCCAGAGCTTGAAGCGGCCGCAGGCCCACAGCTTTCCTCAGCCGATGCCCGGTAATCCCTTCCTTGCGAGCCCAGCTGCCTCACCTTCCCAAGGTCAGATAGTGTTAGGCCCTGCCCAGCTGAATGCATTGTTTGAACAGTTGGCTGAAGCAACCCGTGCAGCATCAGATGCAGCAGCAGCAGCGGCAGCGGCGGCGACGTCCTCTCGGGACGGTCCGCCAACCTTGACTGGCAAGGACATGCTGCGTGTGTTGCCGAAGCCTGAGGTTTTTGCAGCTAGCACGAGAGAGCAGGAGCACACATCTTGGCCAGGTTGGTTTTGGAGTTTTCAGCAGTACCTTTCAGCTCTTGATCCGGGCTATGGGCCCGACCTTGAAGCTTTGGAGGCGAACCCTGGTTCAGTGATAGCAAAGGGCCAGGGCACTATTGCACAGCAAGCCAGGTCACCTCAGCTGCATTCGCTTTTGGCTGCCCTCATTCGTGGCAGAGGTTACATGATTGTGCGACAGACCGAGACTGGAAACGGTTTGGAAGCTTTGCGTCAGTTGATGAGCCTCTTTGCCCCGCGCTCTCAGGGGCGCAGCTTGGGCATCTTGACAGCGATCACCCAGGTGCCTTCGTTCAATCCCTCCGAGGCGTTGCTTCCGCAGATCCTTGATTTGGAACGGGCTTTCACTTCCTATGAACAGTCAGCTTCGGAAACCCTTCAGGGTAGCGTGAAAACTGCACTTCTTCTGCGGTGTTTGCCTGCTAACACAAAGAATCAGATATATGCCAGCTTGCCTGAGGATGCTACTTACAGTCAGGTGCGAGAGGCAAGCCTGAGGATTGAGCGTCAGCATTTCAAGTGGCAGTCTGTTTCTTACTTTGGGACGGTCCGCGAGGCCACAGCTCAGAGGCATGATGAGGCAACGCAGATGGAAATTGATGCCGTGCAGTGGGGCAAACCTAAGGGCAAAGGTGGCAAACCGCAAGGCAAGGACAAAGGCAAAGGCAAAGGCGGCAAGAAAGGTCAGCGTGCCCAGACTCCCCATGGAGGCAAGCCGAAGGGTGGCAAAGGCAAGGATCAAGGCAAAGGTGGCAAGCAGCCCGGCAAGGACAAAGGCAAAGGCAAGGGCAAAGGCGACAAGTCACAGGTGGAGTGTTACAACTGCGGTCGCAAAGGCCATTATGCCGCAGAGTGTTGGCGCAGCAAAGGTCAGGCGAATGTGCATCAGGTTGTCAACAATCCGACTCCGTCGGAGGCTGCACCATCCACCGTGGGGCCGTCAGCGTCCCAGGCAGCGTCCCAAGCCACCGCAGCAGTGCGTCGCATTGAGATTGATTTGAGTACGGTTGGCAGTGGCGCAGGCAGTGGAGGCATTCACATGATCACACAGGCGATGTCCGCGCCGAGACCGGACCAGGTGCTGCTCGAGCCATACCCGAGCGATGAGGTGCTACTCGAGCCAAACCCGAGTGAGGCGATGTCCGCGCCCAGACCGGACCCGGTGCTGCTCGAGCCCTACCCGAGCGAGGCGACGTCCGCGCCCAAACCGGACTTGGTGCCACTCGAGCCTTTCCCGAGTGAATTCAATGATCTTGTGCATGCCACACTCCCTGCCATGACCGTGCCTGATCCTCTTGTGCGCAACTTTGAGCAAGCTGCCCCAATGTATGACATGAGCTACAGTGACAGTGACGGGGAATGGACGTTTGCGAATGGATCCTTGAGTGTTGTGACTTTTGCTCCAGAGCATCAGGTGTGTGCAATCCATCAGGACATTGAGATCGTTCCTGACAGTGGGGCCGATCACTCGTGCCTTCCTGCGGCCTTTGGTTCCACCGGGACCTCAGCGCCGCCATTGCAGGCAACGTTCCGTGATGCACAGGGGAATGTGGTTTCTCCTACGTCGGTGCGCAATGCAAAGCTTGACCTGGGACCCTTGACCATAACGGAAACCTGGTTGATAGGCCCCGTGACTACTCCCTTGTTGAGCTTAGGCAAGCTTTACCGCCAAGGGTTTACGGTTGGCCGTGTGAACAATGAGCTAAAGCTTTTCCGTGAGGGAGATGAAGCCTATGGGGTCCCTGTGTTCATGAAGCACAACTCCCTGTGTCAGGGGTAGCATCAGAGTCATGCAGAGTGATGCACCGCAGGCGGGGCAGGCGGGGCATCCGCCAGCAAGCCCCAGTGAACGTCATGCACCACAATCGCAAACCAGTTCCGGCGAACCTCATGCACCACAATCGCAGACCAGTTCTTTCTGATGAACCTCATGCACCACAATCGCAGTCCAGTACACCTCAGGGCGATTTTCACGAGAATGCATTGACTGTGACATTGCATGGCCCTTGGTTGTCGCTCAAAGCGCCGTTTGTGCAGATTGACACAGGTCTGGTGGCAAACAAGTGCACAAGCCTGTGCTACGTTGATTGCACATTGGCTTTCCCTAGCCTGCCGATTGCTTTCAGGACCACATTGCACAACAGCCCGCGTGGCTGGATTTTGCATACGCTGAACGAGGATCTGTCAACTTTGGATGATTTTGAGGCTAGGTTCGAGGCTGCATTTCCAAGGCCCAAGATGTATGAGACCATCACGATTGGTTCCACGTACCGGCTTGATGTTCGCCAGTTGTTCCCTGAGCACTCTGATCACCCGCTTGTGGCAGTGCCAGTGCCAGAGGAATCAGACGGTGATCCGTCTCCCGATGCTGCCGTGGATTTGGATGTCAACATTGATGCAGGCGGCCTTGACTTGGGAGCCAACGGAGGAGCGGCAGATGAAGGCGAGTTTCCCGGTGCAGCGGGCAACGCGCCCGGCGAGAAGCCTGTTGTCGTTGATGGCACTGAGTTGACCCTTGATTGCACCCTCGCCACGTTGCGGGCCGCAGCACAGAGTCTCGGGATAGGTAAGTCGGGTGGTAAGGCGACAGTTCTTAAGAGGATCAAGGAGTTTCTTGCACGAAATGATTTTCTGTGGGCCAACCTTCCGGCTGATGTGCAGCTGCCTCGTGAACAGGCGCCAGTGCGAGAGCCATCCCAGGATGAAGTGCGCAAGCATTCGCTGACGCACATGCCATTCCAAGCATGGTGCGCTGAATGTGTTGAGCATCGTGCCCGTTCTGACAGACATGAGAGACACCCTGTTGGCGACCGTGAGCATGCGACAATTTGTTTTGATTTTGCTTACACGAGTCGGCCTGAGACCCCCGAACAGAAGCTCGTGTGCCTAGTTGCGTCTTGCAATTTTACCGGTGCGAATCAAGCTTGGCCTGTCCCGGCCAAGGGCGGCAATCTGCAGCTCAGGTACATGACATCAGAGCTTACGAGGTGGATCGCGACTTTAGGCCACAGCGAGGTCACACTGCGCAGTGACCCAGAGCCGGTGTGTTTGTCGTTGCAAAAGCTTGTGCAAGCCCAGCGTCTTCGACTTGGATTGCGGACCCATCTTGGGCAGAGTGAGCCTGATGATCATGCGGCCAACGCGGCCGAACCTGCGGTCGAGACCCTTCGACAGCTGACCAACACGTTGCTTTCTGAGTTCGAGTCCCGTGCAGGTGTCAAGGTGGCATCGTTGGATGCAATGCACGCGTGGGGATGGCGGCATGCAAGCTTCATTCAGCAGCGGTTCACCAGATCGCAAGGCCAGACTCCGTTCGAGCTGGCATGTGGGCGGCCCTATCAGGGCAAGCTTGTGTGCATTGGTGAGACAGTTTATGGAAGAGTTAAAAGTGCTGTGAAAGGGCAGCCCCGATGGGGCGTAGGTTTGTGGTTGGGAAAACTTGGGTGTAGCGACGGCCACATAGTCTTCACTGCTTCGGGACATTTTCTTGCTTGCAGGTCGATTCGTCGCTTACCGCAAACTTACTTGAGGAGTGCTGATTTTGCAAAGCGCCTGCGTGATCATCCCTATTCCCAGGCTGCTTTTCTTGCGGGCCAAGTTGGACAGTGCAGGCCGCAGAAAACACGTGATGCACAACAAGCACCCCCAGAGCCACAGCCAGATGAGAGTGCCCCGGCCGGTGCGGATCCACTTCCGTATCCTGGCTATGTTCTTCCTGACAATGCACCGCTGAGTGAACTTGTGCCACCACCAGCCATCAGAAGTGATTTTGTGCCAGAGCCACCGACGCCCATGCAGGAGGACAGTGGACCTGTCACGCCATTGCAGCCAGCACCTTCCGATGCAGAGGTTGTGAGCTCGCCTCTGGCTGTAGTGCCGGATGCTGAGGTGTTAGCCGAGGCGCCAAATGCTGATCGTGCCACGGGATCGTCCGATCCTGCTTCTTCGTCTGAGCCAGCGGCTGTACGTGTGCCTACCAGGACTGCTGAGCCGAGTGCAAACGAGCCACGCAAACGGCTTCGTCTTGATGCTGTGACGTTTGAAGGTGTCGACATGTACCACAATCACAAGGAGAATGATTTTGAATTTGAGGGTGAGATTTTAGAGGATTTTGATTATGCCGCGGAGGCCGATGGAGCCCAGGATGACACGCGGCCGGAGTCAAGCATTCCTGAGTGCTTGTTGGTCCCTTGGAGTGAGCATGAGCCCGAGCTGAGCGCCGAGCAGCTTGCACATGTAGATGCAGTTGCAATGCAGTTTGAGATTGATCGTCTCCTTGGGATTCCTGCTCTTGAGCGCTGCGCACAGATCCTGCCAGAGCACAAGCACTTGACCACTCGTTTTGTGGTAACATGGCGCTGCAAGACCATTGCAGGTTGCACATACTGGCTCAGGCGAGCCAGGCTTGTGGCCCGTGATTTTGCATTTTTGTGCCCAGGCCGTACCGATTTGTTTTCCCCTGCATCGAATGCTCTGCAAAGCAAGATCATCCCATGTGTCTTCATTGACAACTACCATAACGGTTGGCAGTTGGTATCATTAGATGTTACGGGTGCTTACTTGAATTGCCCGCAGGCAGAGGACACATGCACAAGTGTCATGATCAATGGCGAACGCTTGTATTTCCAGCTTCTCAGGCTCCTTCCGGGCCAGCGGGAAGGGAGCCAGACCTGGTTCTACCAGTTCACCGATGCGCTGAAAGTCGGAAGCCGCGTCGAGCTGATGCAAGAGGTGCCATCGCTGTTCCGGTTCCAGCCTGAGGACGGCGGAGGCGGGGGACTTGTGCACGTCGATGATTTGCTTGGCACAGGACCTGCAAGTGTGATCAAGTGCATGACAGATCATCTTGAAAGGGATTACAAAGTGACTGTGAATTTGATTTCGGTGCCAGGCCAGGAGGTTCATTTTCTTAAGAAGCGGCATTATCTTTTGTCGAGCACAGAGTTGCTGATTGAGGTGAGCCCAAAACACTTGGAAAAGTTGAAATCTTTGTGCGGCCATCCCAAGCACCGAAAGTCACCTCTCCCGTCCGGGCGGTTGCCCACGGAGAAAGAGGACGATGCACCATTGTCCCAGGACCAGGCATTTCGCTTTCGATCAGCCGTTGGAGTGTTGCTTTACCTGCAGTCAGACCTCCCGCACGCCATGCACAGCATTCGCCACTTGTCAGGCTTTATGTCGTCCCCGACCGTTGGGGCATGGGCAATCCTGCGGCATTTGGCTGGCTTGAGTGCCACTGAGGGGTACTGTGCAGGAATCCGAGTTTGGTGCCGCGGTGTCAGCCGCGATAGATGGAACCCTTGTCTCAAGCATGATGCGGTTTGTGTCTCCAGAGCCAACGACACCGCCACTCTTGATGATTGACACTTCCGCTGCCCGCGCGATCCTTCAACGCGCCGGGGTCGGGCGCGTGCGCCATCTTGATGTGAAGCTGCTATGGACGCAACAACGGGTTGCGGAAGGATTGCTGGAGGTGCTGCCGGCACCCACGCGTACCAATGTCGCGGACATTGGCACGAAGCTCCTCGGTGTGCAGCGCACGGAGTTTCTGCTTGGCCTGATTGGGTTTAGAGATTCCCGAAATGGTTATGCTAGGGTTGGAGATGCAATCTTGAGCACAGAGCACAATGTCCAGGCCATTCGCAATGTGTGCAAGGATCTGTCTAAGATCGCAAAGGGTGATGCCACGGCAAACACCGCCCGCATCCTCAGTGTTATCTTGATTGCCACGCAGGCAACTGGAAGCCTGGGTGCGGAGGATGGCGATGATGCCAATGACGACGACGCGACTTTGACCATTCTTGATGCGATTATTGAATCCTTGGTGGAGATCGTCGGCTATGCATCTGCAGTGTATGAAGCATACCCTTCGACATGTGTTGCGGTGTGCCAGTGCGTTGCAATCACTGCATTCTTGATGTGTGCATTCATGTGTTGTGGCCGACGGATGACAGATGTTCCAGAGGCATCTGTGCAGGTGCGCATCGCGCCTGGAGTTGCGGTTGATGTCCGAACATCCCGCATTGAGCCCAAAGCCAAGGCTGGTGAACAGGTGCGTGGAGCGCGGCCCAAAACCGCGAGTCGACCAAAGCTTGATGACGACGATGAGCGAGCCCAGAGTCCTGGTGCGCACGAGGTCCAAGCAAGCAAACCAGGATCATCCACCGATGTGCTGCGATCGAACAGCGAAGCCAGTGAGAAGATCCCGAGAGCACGCCCGATTCCACAGCGCCGGGTGCCACAGGCCCGAAGCGCAGACGGCGTGTGGATTTCGACAAGTCAGGGATACGCTTATCATAAGGCTACATGTGGCAAGTTGAACCAGTCGCAGGGCGTCACTGAGGTGTCGCGAGCGGTTGCTGAGGAGCGCGGCTACCGCGCGTGCCGCATATAAACCTTGATGGGTGTGCCTAGTTTCTTGTGATGCTGCATCGTATGCTTGATCTTGCTTTATAATGCTCATGAGGCACATTGGATGCCATGTACATAGTCAGTCCTTTGTGCCACGGCGCAATTGATTGACAGGCTGCTGGTGGATCCTGTACATAGCTTGACAACGTGCGATGGACGGCTTGAAATCACTTGAATACTGACGTGCAGCATTTTGCTGCTAATCCGAACAATGCCACAATCCCTTGAGCCGTGGAGCGGCTCACAGCTGCGTTGAGGCGCAATTGGCGCCCACAACGGTAACTAGGCCGTTGCAATCTTGTTTTGCCGATTGGGCGCATGAAGCGCATGAACCATCATGAATCGCCTTCTCTTGTGAACTTGAAAGGCGTCCGCTTGCGCCAGTCAAGCAACTTGTGTCCTCGGCGGCCCACGCCTTGTGATACAAGCATGCGTAGAGTTGTGATTGTACAGTTCTTAGGTGTACAAACTTGAGCAAAGCCTTGAGCCGGCTAAACCGAGCCCAACACGTAATCTTGATTGACAAAGTCATGAAAACATGTGCACTGGAGCGTGTTTAAACATCGTACAAGCTGTTGATTCATACTTCGAGGAATCGTTCATGGACAGTCTGCCCATTCGCCAATGGAACAGCCTGAGGCGGGGTACGAACGATTTTCCTGTATTCGTTGGCATGGTTTTACATTGATTTTATCATGCATTTTACTTTCGCTCCTTTAGTTGTGCACATGCTGATTCCGAGATACCTGAAGGCTTTTGTTGCTCGAGGATGGTGGAAAAGTTCGTAGATATTGTCATGTAAATCCACTGTCCTTTGAAATTTCCCTTATAGCCCTTACTCTAGGAAAGTTTCAAATGACAGTGGTTTTAGGTGGGTTTCTACGATATTGTCATTCAAATCCACTGTCCTTCGAACTTCCCCTGATAGCTCTTACTCTATGGAAGTTTCAGAGGACAGAGGTTTTAGGTGGGTTCTACGATATTGTCATGTAAATCCACTGTCCTTTGAAATTTCGGTTTGTCATCTAAATCCACTGTCGGTTGAAATTTCCTTCATAGCTCTTACTCTAGGGAAGTTTCAAAGGACAGTGGTCTAGGGAGGTTAAAAGGACAGTGGTTGTAGGTGGGTTTCTACGATATTGTCATCCAAATCCACTGTCCTTTGAAATTCCCCTGATAGCTCTTACTCCAGGGAAGTTTCAGAGGACAGAGGTTTTAGGTGGGTTCTACGATATTGTCATCTAAGTCCACAGTCCTTTGAAATTTCGGTTTGTCATCTAAATCCACTGTCCTTTGAAATTTCCCTTATAGCTCTTACCGTAGGGAAGTTTCAAAACACAGTGGTCTAGGGAAGTTTCAAATGACAGTGGTTTTCGGTGGATTCTACGATATTGTCATCTAAATCCACTGTCCTTTGAAATTTCCGTTGTAGCTCTTACTCTAGGGAAGTTTCAAAGGACAGTGCTTTTAGGCGATATTGTCATCTAAATCCACGTCCTTTGCAATTTCTTTTATAGCTCTTGCTTTAGGGAAGTTTCAAAGGACAGTGGTTTTAGGTGGGTTCTACGATATTGTCATCTAAATCCACTGTCCTTTGAAATTTCCCTTATAGCTCTTACTGTAGGGAAGTTTCAAATGACAGTGGTCTAGGGAAGTTTCAAAGGACAGAGGTTTTAGGTTGGTTCTACGATACTGTCTTCTAAATCCATTGTCCTTTGAAATTTCGGTTATAGCTTTAGAGAAGTTTCAAAGGACAGAGTTTTTAGGCGGGTTCGACGATTTTGTCATCTAAATCCACTGTCCTTTGAAATTTCGGTTATAGCTTACCAACCTACATACCTACCTACCTACATGCATGCATACATGTGTTCATCTATGTGCATGTATATAAACTCCAAAACGTATACATATAGATGCTCTCCTGCCTCCCACGATGGTATGATCACCAGCAGCAGTAGCAGTGGGATAGGGTGTAGTTTTTTGGGCATATGGGAATGGGCATGTGGGAATGGGTGGGTTTGGGAGGGTTTCGGTGGGTTTGCACGGTTTTCTGCGGGTTTGGTTGTGCTCTTGGCGGTTTTTGGGCATTTCAAAAATTTCGATGGGTGGGAAAAGGGCCCAAATGACACCGCGGGGAATAAGCCCGCAACCCTTCCCCTATATGACCAGGGAGGCGGCCGCCATGCAGGAAGTAAATCCAGGCACAGCTCAGTGGTCAAGCACCTGTGTCACAAACCCCTCTCGAGGTCCTCGGGCTCAATCCTCAGGGGTGCCATGTGTGCCCCGTCACAGCCGGAATCGAGATTTTCGGGTGAGTACAGGCTCTGTGGGGACCTCGCAGCTAGTTGCAACTGCCACCAGTTGCCATTGACACTAGTTGCCACTGCCAGCACTGCCAGCACTTGCCACTGCCACGAGTTGCCGTTGCCACTGCCACCAGTTGCCACTGCCCCCAGTTGCCACTGCCACCAGTTGCCATTGCCACTAGTTGTCACTCCGATCAGTTGCCACTGCGGCTAGTTGCCACTGCCGCCAGTTGACAATGCCACGAGTTGCCACTGCCACCAGTTGCCACTGCCGCCAGTGTCCACTGCCACCAGCTGCCACTGCGGCTAGTTGCAACTGCCACCAGTTGCCATTGCCAATAGTTGCCACTGCCAGAACTGCCAGCAGCTGCCACTGCCACCAGTTGCCACTGCCGCGACTTGCCGTTGCCACTGCCACCAGTTGCCACCAGTTGCCACCAGTTGCCACTGTCACTAGTTGCCACGAGCACTGCCGCCAGTTGCCGCTGCCACCAGTTGCCAACCGCCGCCAGTTGCCACTGCCACCAGTTGCCACTGCCCCCAGTTGCAGTTGCCACCAGTTGCCACCAGTACCAGTTGCCACTGCCACTAGTTGCCACTGTCACTAGTTGCCACGGGCACTGCCGCCAGTTGCCACTGCCACCAGTTGCCAACCGCCGCCACCAGTTGCCACTGCCACCAGTTGCCACTGCCACCAGTTGCCACTCCCACTAGTTGCCACTGCCACCACTTGCCCACTGCCACTAGTTGCAACTAACACCAGTTGCCACTCCCACTAGTTGCCACTGCCACTGATTGCCACTGCCACTAGTTGCCATTGACATCAGTAGTCGCAGCACCAGCAGCACTAGCAGTGGGATAGGGTGTAGTTTTTTGGGCATATGGGAATGGGCATGTGGGAATGGGTGGGTTTGGGAGGGTTTCGGTGGGTTTGCACGGTTTTCTGCGGGTTTGGTTGTGCTCTTGGCGGTTTTTGGGCATTTCAAAAATTTCGATGGGTGGGAAAAGGGCCCAAATGACACCGCGGGGAATAAGCCCGCAACCCTTCCCCTATATGACCAGGGAGGCGGCCGCCATGCAGGAAGTAAATCCAGGCACAGCTCAGTGGTCAAGCACCTGTGTCACAAACCCCTCTCGAGGTCCTCGGGCTCAATCCTCAGGGGTGCCATGTGTGCCCCGTCACAGCCGGAATCGAGATTTTCGGGTGAGTACAGGCTCTGTGGGGACCTCGCAGCTAGTTGCAACTGCCACCAGTTGCCATTGACACTAGTTGCCACTGCCAGCACTGCCAGCACTTGCCACTGCCACGAGTTGCCGTTGCCACTGCCACCAGTTGCCACTGCCCCCAGTTGCCACTGCCACCAGTTGCCATTGCCACTAGTTGTCACTCCGATCAGTTGCCACTGCGGCTAGTTGCCACTGCCGCCAGTTGACAATGCCACGAGTTGCCACTGCCACCAGTTGCCACTGCCGCCAGTGTCCACTGCCACCAGCTGCCACTGCGGCTAGTTGCAACTGCCACCAGTTGCCATTGCCAATAGTTGCCACTGCCAGAACTGCCAGCAGCTGCCACTGCCACCAGTTGCCACTGCCGCGACTTGCCGTTGCCACTGCCACCAGTTGCCACCAGTTGCCACCAGTTGCCACTGTCACTAGTTGCCACGAGCACTGCCGCCAGTTGCCGCTGCCACCAGTTGCCAACCGCCGCCAGTTGCCACTGCCACCAGTTGCCACTGCCCCCAGTTGCAGTTGCCACCAGTTGCCACCAGTACCAGTTGCCACTGCCACTAGTTGCCACTGTCACTAGTTGCCACGGGCACTGCCGCCAGTTGCCACTGCCACCAGTTGCCAACCGCCGCCACCAGTTGCCACTGCCACCAGTTGCCACTGCCACCAGTTGCCACTCCCACTAGTTGCCACTGCCACCACTTGCCCACTGCCACTAGTTGCAACTAACACCAGTTGCCACTCCCACTAGTTGCCACTGCCACTGATTGCCACTGCCACTAGTTGCCATTGACATCAGTAGTCGCAGCACCAGCAGCACTAGCAGTGGGATAGGGTGTAGTTTTTTGGGCATATGGGAATGGGCATGTGGGAATGGGTGGGTTTGGGAGGGTTTCGGTGGGTTTGCACGGTTTTCTGCGGGTTTGGTTGTGCTCTTGGCGGTTTTTGGGCATTTCAAAAATTTCGATGGGTGGGAAAAGGGCCCAAATGACACCGCGGGGAATAAGCCCGCAACCCTTCCCCTATATGACCAGGGAGGCGGCCGCCATGCAGGAAGTAAATCCAGGCACAGCTCAGTGGTCAAGCACCTGTGTCACAAACCCCTCTCGAGGTCCTCGGGCTCAATCCTCAGGGGTGCCATGTGTGCCCCGTCACAGCCGGAATCGAGATTTTCGGGTGAGTACAGGCTCTGTGGGGACCTCGCAGCTAGTTGCAACTGCCACCAGTTGCCATTGACACTAGTTGCCACTGCCAGCACTGCCAGCACTTGCCACTGCCACGAGTTGCCGTTGCCACTGCCACCAGTTGCCACTGCCCCCAGTTGCCACTGCCACCAGTTGCCATTGCCACTAGTTGTCACTCCGATCAGTTGCCACTGCGGCTAGTTGCCACTGCCGCCAGTTGACAATGCCACGAGTTGCCACTGCCACCAGTTGCCACTGCCGCCAGT